GACATGACTGACGTGACTTAGCAGCAGCAGCAGCACATCTTGGGAGAATTCCTGGAAGTAGGTGGAAGCAGTAAACTCAAGCCCAGACTCAGGAGGGGGGCAAAGGGGAAGAGAGGATTCCCATGGGCCCACAGCCAGGGCCAGTGCCACTGCCCACAGGCGCCGGGGGCTCTTCTGCCCTGGCAACCCTGGGCATACATGCACTTGAACCCTCAACTGCTAGCCACCAGCCTGAGATGGACTCTGGAAAAGGCAAACCCTGAGTCTCCCTTTTCCAAGGATCTGCCATCCCAACCCATAGCATGCTGGCAGACAGTGAAGAGTCCTTAAACCTCTGCTCCTGGCCCTGCTGTATACCCCAATCGAGACTGACCTTGACAGTTAACTCCCGCCAGACCAGGTAGCCACCAGCGGGTGGCAAGGTGGGCCAGGGATAGCTTCCAGCCTCCCTGCACACACGCCAGGAGGGCATCAATGCACCATGATCACGCTCCCACCCTGTGACCCAGCTGTTGCCCCCACGAAAAGAACATCAAGCAGTCATGGGGCGTAGAGAGAGGGGCCAGGTCAGGCCCCCATCATGCAGGGGTTGGAGGAGCAAGGTCCAAGTGTGAATTGATCTCCTATTTTGTCCCATCAGACTTCACTAACAAAACACAAGTTCAAAGAGAAAACGATTAAGAATTTCAAGATGGCCACAGGAGAGCAATAAACCAAGAGTGGGCCCCTTCTTGTGTGCAGGGTGCCTGGGGTGACTGAAGCTGGCCCGGCTGCAGAGAGAAGAGTGACCAGAGGGAGGTTACCAGAGGAGTAACCCTTTAGGGAGGCTGAGCTGCTTGGAGTCAGGGAGAGTTTTAAAGAGCTTCATGAACAGTTCCAGGCGGGATGCCAAGATGGTAAATTAGATTTTCCAAGCAAGCAAGAATCTGCTATCAGAAATCTAATTGGAAGCGGAGTATGACTCACCAGGAGCAAAGAAAGGGAGGCCACATCCTGTGGCCCGGAGCAGGAGAAAGGGGCTATAGTTGTGTAGCTGTGTGTGTGTACTTTCAGCCACGGAGGAGAGGGAAGGTTCTGTGCAGGCCGTCATCAGAGCACACAGAGAGACCAGAGGCCACAGGACAAGTGGTCAGGTAGGAGGGAGTCACCCCCAAGGTGGCATTCCACAGTCTTGGTGCTCCCAGCATCTCGAGAACGTCCACGACCAAGCAAGCCCTCTGCTGAGCAGTGATGATGGCAGATAACATCGCATGTCATAAAGACACCTCTGTGGATGTGCTAACGATGGTACACTTCCCAGGTGGCCCAGTGGTAAAGAATCTGCCCACCAATGCTGGAGATGCAGGGGTGTTGGGTCCCATCCCTGGGTTGGGATGATTCCCCAGAGGAGGAAATGGCAACCCACCCCAGTATCTTGCCTGGAAAATCCCATGGGCCCAGGAGCCTGGTGGGCTACAGTCCAGGAGGTCGTGACGAGTCAGACACGGCTGAGCATGCACTTGTTATGGGAAAAGTTGAGGTGCCCAGATAGCTCATGGGTGGTAGGTGGCAGTTTTGACTTGGAATCTTTTGGCTTGATAGCATGATAGTCGAAGGGACTTTTTAATGTGTTCTTAGCTTGAATTCATGTCTGCCACGTGGTGGTCATTTTTCACTTTGACTTGGGGTTTGGGGCTACCCCAGTGTTTGCGGGGACAGGAGAACACCCAGTAGTTTGCATGGAGACAGAGATCCGGGGGAGCGAAGGATTGAGACCGACTGGGGGCTCCATAAAATGTTTCAAGACTTCCTTTCTCACCTTGGAATCAAGAAGACTTTCTAACTAACTCAAAATGCAGATGCTAAGAAGTCTAAAAGCTCAGAAGTTTCCGTTAAAAAAGAAAAAAAGCCGCACAGGCAAATCAAAGGACAAGTGACAACGGCAGAGGAAAATAAAAAAGATGTGACTCATGTCACAAACGGCTGCTTTGCCTCGCACTTAAAAAGCTCCTTCTAACTGATGTAAAGAGTGAAATCTTAAAAAGAGGGGATATATACGTATAACTGACTCACTTCACTGTACAGCAGAAACTAACACAGCATTGTAAAGCAACTATATTCCCCCCAAAAAAAATTTTAAGAACCAATGTTAAAAAAAAAAAAGCAACGACTCAAAGATAGACAGTTAATTCGAAAGGAAACACCTCTGCCTTATATGCTCGGTCTTACTTAGAATAAGAGAAGTACAGAATTACTTTAAATCTGAAGACAACTTTGCGTTTATGAATTTGATTTTCAGAAATCCAAGAGCTTGATGGTTATCACTATCATAATCGTTAGTTATCATTATCATTCCCTACAAGCTCTCCCTTTGTGGGGAAGCAGAAATTCTCACACACTGCAACGGGTTGTGTAAACCACTACAGCCACAAGGGCGAGAGTGTGGCTGTCTCTATCAAAACTGCAAATGCAAGGATGTCCCTGGTGGTCCAGTGGTTAAGACTCCGTGATTTCATTGCAGAGAGGCTTTCATTGCAGAGGGCCAGGGTTCTATCCCTGGTCGGGGAAATAAGGTCTCACAAGCCTCACATTTAGTGAAGCAAAAAAAAAAAAAAAACACATGCATGGTCACTTTGGGCCTGGTCTCTTCTGTCTGCCCCTGCAAACACACCTCCACCTTCCCCATCTTTTACTGTGCCCTGGGGTCCTGTCTTGCATGGGTACGGCCACCAGCTGCCTTGTCCTGTGGCTTCGATTGGAATCAGCCAATGGGGAACCCCAGGAGAGGAGAAGGAACACAGTGAGAAATATCTGTGCTCCTCTCTCCTATCTAATTCCAGGCTTGGGACGTTCCCTCTGTACCTCAAGCCCACAATGATAACAGCCCTCGCTGCTGTTATTTTCAGATGCTACGCTCGTCCTTATGGTTGGCCTGGAGCCAGCTCACACATTTGTATTAAATAGTCCCTTGATGAAAATCTTCAAGTTAGCCAGAGTTGAATGTGCTCTTACCTGCTGGGACCCTGCCTGAACCCCACTTTGGCCTAGCAGTCCTATTTCTGGGAAGCTTTCTCACATTTAGACTTGACATGCTCAGAATGAGGCATTTTCAAGAAAATCCATTGCAGAAACAGTTGGAAGTCACTCAAATGTTCTTTGTGGCGACTGGTCATATAAATCATGGTATGTTCACAGAGTAGACTATATGTAACTATTAAAAAAAAAAAAGAAATTCTCTTTGGTGTTGATATAGAAAGAGCTCCCAAATTTATTTTTAAGTGGAAAAAAGCAGGAGTTAAACAGGGAATGTATATGCTATGGTGTACTAAGTTGCTTCAGTTGTGTCCAACTCTGACCCCATGGACAGTAGCCCACCAGGCTCCTCTATCCATGGGGTTTTCCAGGCAAGAATACTGGAGTGGGTTGCCATGTCCTCCTCGACCCTTGGGTCGAGAAGATCTCTCTTGTGTCTCCTACATTGGCAATCAGGTTCTCTACCACCAGCATCACCTGCTATCTCTGTGTTTGGGAAAATAGGGGTGGGGAGAATAAGAATACATTTTTGTATTTGCTTATGCATGAAGGTGAACATGAACTTGGGCAAATTCTGGGAGACAGCGAGGGGCAAGGAGGCCTGACGTGCTGCCGTCCACAGGGTCTCAAAGAGTTGGACATGACCAGGCGGCTGAACAACAACATGTATGAAGATATTCTGAAGGACTAACCCAAAAAAATAAAAATAGTTTTCCAAAGGGAGCAAGACACTTCACAATTTGATTTTTCGTATATTTAAATTTTTGGAACCAAATGACTATGGGTCCCACAAGCTGAGATAAAGCTCCTTGTGTAAATGGGGTGAATGATCCAGCTCCCAGAAGGGCAGAGAGGAAACCTGGAATCAGGAATTTCCTGCTGGGGACTTCCCTCGTGGTTCAGTGGTTAAGAATCCACCTTGTAATTCAGGGGACGCAGTTTCAATCCCTGGTCAGGGAACTAAGATCCCACATGGCACAGGGCAACTAAGCCACACACCTCAATTACTGAAGCCAACGGACACAACGAGAGGGTCTGTGTGCTGCAACAAAGTAGATCCCACGTGCCACAGCTAAGACCCAGTTCAGTTCAGTCGCTCATATGTGTTCTTCACATGAGGTGGCCAAAGTATTAGAGTTTCAGCTTCAGCATCAGTCCTTCCAATGAATATTCAGGACTGGTTTCCTTTAGTATGGACTGATTGGATCTCCTTGCAGTCCAAGGGACTCTCAAGAGTCTTCTCCAACACCACAGTTCAAAAGCATCAATTCTTTGGTGCTCAGCTTTCTTCATGGTGCAGCTCTTATGTCCATACACGACTAATGGGAAAACCAAAGCTTTGGCCAGACAGAATTTTGTTAGCAAAGTAATATCTCTGCTTTTTAATATGCTGTCTAGGTTGGTCATAGCTTTTCTTCCAAGAAGCAAGCGTCTTTTAATTTCATGGCTACAAGTCACCATCTGCAGTGATTTTGGAGCCAAAAAAAAATAAAGTCTGTCACTGTTTCCATTGTTTCCCCCATCTATTTGCCATGAAGTGATGGGACCAGGTACCATGATCTTAGTTTTCTGAATGTTGAGTTCTAAGCCAACTTTTCCCCTCTCCTCTTTCACCTTCATCAAGAGGCTCTTTAGTTCTTCGCTTTCTGCCATAAAGGTGGTGTCATCTGCATATCTGAGGTTATTGATACTTCTCCTGGCAATCTTCATTCCAGCTTGTGCTTCCTCCAGCCCAGTGTTTCTCATGATGTACTCTTCATATAAGTTAAATAAGCAGGATGACAATATACAGCCTTGACATACTCCTTTCCCAATTTGGAACCAGTCTGTTGTTCCATGTCCAGTTCTGACTCTTGCTTCCTGACCTGCATACAGATTGTCTTTGTCTGTTGTCTTTGCAGTTTAATTCGATACTTCACAATTCTGATCCCTAATGTTGATTTCTTTTCAGATGTGAAAGTAATGAAAGGTCGCATAAAATAATAAAAATGCTCTTGAGCCAGAATGTGTCGGTGACTGGACCACTGAATTTGTATCCCATGGGTGAGTGTTACTTTTTCTCACAGTTCCATGTACAGGGACCCTGTTAGGAAGTAGCCAATTGATTTCCCAGTCCTGAGGACACAGTATGAGCTGCCCAATGTCAGAGCCGAGTGGAACGTAGATAGAAATTCTATGTTGATGGTGTGATTTACAATGGGTTTCTGTTCTGCTGGTATTTTAGGAAAACAACCAATCATAGACGTGAGGCTCAATAATGAAGGGAGCTAGCTTCATTGTGATCCGAAGAGGAATTTCCCTTAATACTTTCATTCTAATCCAGGGTGGAGTTTATCACTCCATTCCTACATTTGGAAAGAGGCCAGACCCCTAGGACTTCCCTGGCAGCTCAGTGGTTAAGAATCTGCCTGCAAATGCAGGAGAGCTGGTTTGATCCCTGGGTCGGGCAAACTGTAGGAGAGTATCTATGTATCCTAAGTGTAAAGAAAGATTTCTTAAAGCTTACAAAGCACACATTGAAACCAAAAAAAGTCTTCTATGAAAATTAAATGTTTTTCTATTCAACAAAGGGTAATAATGAGATAACAGATCAGGATAATATATTTCAGTTCAGTTCAGTCAGTTCAGTCGCTCAGTCGTGTCTGACTCTTTGCGACCCCATGAACTGCAGCACACCAGGCCTCCCTGTCCATCACCAGCTCACAGAGTTTACTTAAACTCATTTCCATCGAGTCGGTGATGCCATCCAATCATCTCATCCTCTGTCATCCCCTTCTTTCGTCTGCCTTCAATCTTTCCCAGCATCAGTGTCTTTTCAAATGAGTCAGCTCTTCGCATCAAAGGTGGCCAAAGTATTGGAGTTTCAGCTTCAACATCAGTCCTTCCAATGAACACCCAGGACTGATTTCCTTTAGGATGGACTGGTGGGATCTCCTTGCAGTCCAAGGGACTCTCAAGAGTCTTCTCCAACACCATATTTCAAAAGCATCAATTCTTTGGCACTCAGCTTTCTTTATAGTCCAACTCTCACATCCATACATGACTACTGGAAAAACCATAACCTTGGCTAGACGGACCTTTGTTGGCAAAGTAATGTCTCTGCTTTTTAATATGCTATCTAGGTTGGTCATAACTTTCCTTCCAAGGAGTAAGCGTCTTTTAATTTCATGGCTGCAATCACCATCTGCAGTGATTTTAGAGCCCAGAAAAATAAAGTCAGCCACTGTTTCCACTGTTTCCCCAACTATTTGCCATGAAGTGATGGGACTGGATGCCATGATCTTAGTTTTCTGAATGTTGAGCTTTAAGCCAACTTTTTCACTCACCTCTTTCACCTTCATCAAGAGGCTCTTTAGTTCTTCTTCACTTTCTGCCATAAGGGTATGTCATCTGCATATCTGAGGTTATTGATATTTCTCCCGGCAATCTTGATTCCAGCCTGTGCTGAATGGGAAAGACTAGAGATCTCTTTAGGAAAATTAGAGATACCAAGGGAACATTTCATGCAAAGATGGGCACAATAAAGGACAGAAATGGTATGGACCTAACAGAAGCAGAAGATATTAAGAAGAGGTGGCAAGAATACACAGAAGAACTGTACAAAAAAGATCTTCACGACCCAGATAATCACAATGGTGTGATCACTCACCTAGAGCCAGACATCCTGGAATGTGAAGTCAAATGAGCATTAGGAAGCATCACTACAAACAAAGCTAGTGGAGGTGATGGAATTGCAGTTGAGCTATTTCAAATCCTGAAAGACAATGCCGTGAAAGTGCTGCACTCAATATGCCAGCAAATTTGGAAAAGTCAGCAGTGGCCACAGGACTGGAAAAGGTCAATTTTCATTCCAATCCCAAAGAAAGGCAGAGCCAAAGAATGCTCAAACTACCGCACAATTGCACTCATCTCACACGCTAGTAAAGTAATGCTCAGAATTCTCCAAGCCAGGCTTCAGCAATACATGAACTGTGAACTTCTGGATGTTCAAGCTGCTTTTTAGAAACCAGCTGCCTTTAGAAAAGGCAGGGGAACCAGAGATCAAATTGCCAACATCCACTGGATCATCAAAAAAGCAAGAGTTCCAGAAAAACATCTATTTCTGCTTTATTAACTATGCCAAAGTCTTTGACTGTGTGGGTCACAATAAACTGTGGAAAATTCTGAAAGAAATGGGAATACCAGACCACCTGACCTGCCTCTTGAGAAACCTGTATGCAGGTCAGGAAGCAACAGTTAGAACTGGACATGGAACAACAGACTGGTTCCAATTTGGGAAAGGAGTATATCAAGGCTGTATATTGTCACCCTGCTTATTTAACTTATATGCAGAGTACATCATGAGAAATGCTGGGCTGGAGGAAGCACAGGCTGGAATCAAGATTGCTGGGAGAAATATCAATAACCTCGGCTATCTCAACCCTCCAAAAAACTCCACCTGGAATAGATCCCCTGGAGAAGGATATGGCAACCCACTCCAGTATTCTTGCCTGGAAGATCCCATGGACAGAGGAGCCTGGCAGGCTACCGTCCATGGAGTCATAAAAAGTCGGACACGACTTAATGACTAAATAATAAAAAACTCCTGTCTCCTTCCTTATCACAAAACCAAAATGTCACCCCTAAACTTTGGTTTCCACATTTCATTTATCTTTTTTTTTGCATCGTCCTATTCATTTGTGCCTTCTCTTTACCTTTCTTTTGGTTCTGTTTCAGTATCACTGTGTCATCTGTTCTATAGTTTATCAGTAAGGGATCCATGGTTGGGACACTTCTCCCCCAAGAAGTGTCAAGCATTGGGGAGTATGTGAGGACAATAGGGCCTCACCTACTGAAAAATGCCAACCCTGCCCTCCCACTCAGAAAACAAATGAGAATCCCCACTTCCCATCAGCAAGGCCTTTCTCCCTCCACCGACCTCGGTAAATATCTTTGCCTTGGAAGTTTTAAATTAGCAACTTGCTTATTCACATTCTGAGAATTTTTCCAGATGGATGACTGCTTCTCAAGATGGTTCCCCAACCAGCCAGCCAACCCTCTTTACTAGTATCAGTTCCCAAACAGCTTGTTTTGGATCCACTCAGGACAAAACATCCTCGGAAGATGCACTGCTGATACCATCAACTCTTTAAGATCATTTTACGTGCTCAGTCATTCAGTCGTATCCAACTCTGTGACCCCCACAGACTGTAACCCTCCAGGCTCCTCTGTCCATGGAATTTTTTAGGCAAGAATACTGGAGTGGGGTGCCATTTCCTACTCCAGGGGGTCTTCCCAACCCAGCGATCAAACCCACGTCTCCTATGCCTCTTGCATTGGCAGGCAGATTCTTTACCACCTGGGAAGCCCAGAACCATTTACTTGACCCTTTCTCTTTAGTGCAAGAAAGTCTTAGTCCAATAGTAATACACATGTGTGGAAGAATGCCAGACTCAGAGTGGCGATCATAAACTGAGCCTGGAGAAAGTGTTGTTTGCTTTTCTAACATGTGTTTCTTCTTCCCAGTGCACATCAGCCTCGTGTTTGGCATTTCGTATGTTGTGTCTGGTAAGAGATTTTCTTGACTTAACAACATTTTGTGTAAGGCTGAGAGTGGGGGAGCAACCATTTAGAAGTCAAAAAATATGGGAAGTTGGATTTCTGACTCCAGATCTGTTGCCATTTTGTTTGAGCCTTTTTCCTCAAATACTTTCTCTGTAGAAGGAGAATTTAGCCAATTCTGATTTTCACATTTGTCTCATAAAACTATTACAGGAAATTAACACTAGAGTTAATTTTTAAACCCCTTAAAGGAATTGTTGTTGTGGTTGTTATTGTTTAGTCACTCAGCCGTTCGACTCTTTTGTGACCCACGGACTGTAGCCCACCAGACTCCTCTGTCTATGGGATTCTCCAGGCAAGAATACTGGAGTGGGTTGCCACTTCCTCCCCGAGGGGATCTTCCCAATCCAGGGATTGAACCAGGGTCTCCTACATTGGCAGGTGGGTTCTTTCTCATTGAGCCACCAGGGAAGTCCCTTAAAAAAATATCCAGCTCTTAATATTCTCACTAATAGAAGAATGAGGAGACTGCCAAACAAGAAAAATCTTCCAGAAATCATTTCTCTTTAATTTATATTTTCCCACCTGTTATCTGGTACCTGGTACCAGATAAGAGAAAATACATTTTTTTAAACTAAATTTCTTGTCTATACATAAATCTTCCCACAAAACTTCACTGTGGGTTAAATATGTATCCAGCCTTGTGATCAACACTGGGGGATGAAGACTTGGCCACCAGGAAGCAAAGTCCTAACCACAGGAAACTAAGATGCTCTTTGAAATGTTAACCGTATAAGGCAGAGTCTGACAAGTATAACTGCAAGGTCTCCTTTGCCACTGCCACATCCCAGCTGAGTTGCATAACTCAACTTCTCAGTTTCACAGTCTGTGAAATGGGTCTGTGAATCAAATCTACTCCAGCATAGGCATGGGGATGAAATGCCTGGAAAGATCCAATCTGGGCACACATTCTCCACCTCCCCTCTGTGATGGAGAATAAGCACAGTGGGAAATTCAGAGGAAGAAAAGCTTTCCATGGGCTGAGCTACGTTGGGGGGACCAGAGGAGGGGTTGAGGATTGACTTGAGAGCATGAACTGGCCCAGGATAACATGGATCATTTTGATCCAAATTGCTGCTGCCAGCCTGTGATAACTGGGTGAGCCCAAATTCTGGTTTCCCTTATAGCTCAGTCAGTAAAGAATCTGCCTGCAATGCAGAAGTCCCAGGTTCGATCCCTGGATTGGGAAGATCCCCTGGAGAAGGGAATGGCAACCCACTCCAGTATTCTTGCCTGGAGAATCCCATGGGCAGAGGAGCCTGGTGGACTACAGTCCACAGGGTTGCAAGAATTGGACGTGACTTAACCACTTAAACCACTACCACCAAATTCTGTTTATACCGTGCTGAGTTCCTGTATATTACTTGTATTAGCTCATTTCTAGTGTTCAACAAAACCATTTACTTTGGGTTTCCAAGATCCCAGTGGGGGCTTCTCTGCTAGAAGTGTGGAAGTTCAGATCCCAAGGGACAGTATGAACTGTGGCCAAGATAACAACACTGGATTCCAGATTTCAGTCTTTTTTTTTTTTAACTTCTATTCCCTTTAGATTTTTCAGATGAACCTTGCACTTTAAAGATGAGATTCCGAAATTTCCAGTCAATCTTATCATGGGAATTAAAAAACCATTCAGTTGTACCAACTCACTATACATTATGGTACACAGTCATGAGGTGGGTTTGACATTCTGTTTTTCTCTTGCTAATTATATCATGTTTCTATTATGTGGGAAGTGGAAAAGAGGTGACCTTATTTGTGATAGAGCTTTTCCCTCTCTCTCTCCCTCACTCAGCCCCTCTCAATTTCAGTGTTTTATTTAGAGCTTTAAAAGTCCAAGACAGAAGACTCCTCCATTTTTAATTACACTGAATTCTTGAACACCACAAAGTTATTTTTGACACACTTGTACTTATAACCAAAGCCAATTTCTACAGGTCAGTATCTCAGAAGGAAAATAATTATCACCATTATTCACAATCGCTTCCCTAGTTCAGTAAGCCTGGGCATCAAAAGTGCTGCATCGTCCTGAGGACTGAAGTCCAAAGACCTGGTGACCGTATTGATGGGTTATGTTTACTTTTCTCTACTCAGGGAGGCACATGGGGCATCAGAAACCCACCTGGTCCCAACGAGGCCAGGCCCAGGTCCAAAGTCTGGCCTGGTCACTACCAGCTGTGGCCCCGGGCACAGAGCTCAGTTCTCTGTGCTGATCCTCCTGCTCGGGGTGGCTGCAGGCAGTCGTGGCCTAACGGACAGTGTCCTCTTCGGCTCTCTTTTCCCACATCCAACAACCGCCCTCCTAAGCCTTACTCTGATCCAGTTACCCCTCGGGGTGTCCTCTGGTTGGTTGTCCATTTCACTGCTCTTCCTGCTGCTGTCTGACCCACTGAAGGACCTCTGGTGGTGTCTCTTTGTTGCTGTTCCGTCGCTAGGTCATGTCCGACTCTGCCACCCCATGGATTGCGACATGCCACGCTTTCCTGTCCCTCACTCTCTTCCGGAGCTTGCTCATGTCCTTTGAGTCCGGGATGCTATCTAACCAGCTCATCCTCTGCCGCCCTCTTCTCCTTTAGCCTCAATCTTTGCCAGCATCAGGGTCTATCCCAACGAGTTGGCTCCTCGCATCAGGTGACCAAAGTACTAGAGTTTAGGCCTTAGTCCTTCCAATGAATATTCAGGGTTGATTTCCTTTAGGATAGGGTTTCTCTTTGTTACCTACTAACATAAGTTTCTCCCTGCCTTAGGCAGTCACGTGTATCATCCACCTGCCTCTCTGAAGCTCAGGAGAGCAGATGTCTGTGTTAGTCCCATACAGGCTGACTTAGGACTAGACCATGCGATCCTCAGCCTGAGAAACGGGTCTCAGGGAGAGGCAGTCATGATTGTCCTGTAGAATTAGAGAGATCTGGGGCCTCTGCCATGAACACCCAACATTTGCTTATTCATTCACCCAGCAAGTATTTACTGAGCACCTACCATGTGCCAGGGGTGCAACTCGGAACCCAGACCCCTGTTTTCTTGGGGCAGACATTCCAAAAGTAAGCAGAGGTCTCAGTCAGCAAAGATATAACAAGCCAGGGTGCGGGCAAATGGTATGAAGAAAAATAAAGACAGGAAATTGGGATCAAGGTGCTCCATTTGGGATCAAGGTGCTCCATTTGAAATAAGGGGGTGAGAGCCAGTGACAACATGGAGCCATTACCCTTTGCTGTCCACGTGAAACTGTCACAGCATTGTTAATCAGCTGTGCTCCCATACAAAGTAAAATGTTTAAAAAGAAATTTCAAAATCAAAAGAAAGAAAACCCACAAGGGACCTCTGAGCAGAGCCATACAGGAATATGCAAGCAGGGCTTCAGGTTAGTGGACCCTCATCACACACAGGCTGACGTCTTCTTTGACCCTCTCTTTGCCTTTCAAAGTAAACCAGAAGACATGAAGGTCGTCAAGGACTGCATAAACATCACAAGATCGTTCTGTGACCTGACACACGTGTGGGTGAACACGACGGACATGTATGTCTCCCGAGTGGTTGGATTCAGAGAGAAGGCGGAGCTGGTCAGTTGCATGGGCTCTTTCTTCCTCGAGTCAGACAGTGAGTTCGTCTCGTTTATTATCTTCATCATCACCGCTCAGTTCACCGTTACTTGCTTTGCCAGAAAGCAGGAAGTTCTGTAAAGGTGTTTTAGATGCAGGGCTGGGTTCACCTCCTGGCCCTGCTACCTCCTATCTCCGTCACCCTGGAGTGGTTACTTGGCTTCTCTGAGCCTCCGTTTTCTTCTCCAAAAGAGTGGAATGATAACCTACTCTTTGAAGATGAGGGCTCTGTGCCTGTATAAAGCAGTCACTCAGGCAGTAGCAGCTGCTACTTTTTTTTTGAAGCTATTTTTTCATTAAAGTATAGTTGATTTACAATGCTGTGTTCACTTGATATATAGTAGCTGCTACTTTTTGCTTTGTTTCACAGCATGACAGGAAGTGGGGAACGGGGTTCAGAAAGGCCTGTGTCTGAGCTGTCATAACTTTGGGGGTCTGTGTGTTCCTTAATACTGCAGCCCCTCCCCAGATCACATCCCAGTAGCTCTGGCCTGTGTGAGCGCCCAGGTGTGTGTGCACGCGGGGCCCAGACAGACAAGCCTGGATCCCAGGAGGGGTGTGCCTGCTCTCCCTTTCCCTACCACGGGAGGCGGCTCCTTCTGGCACTTGTGTTAACAGCTTCAGAGCAGCTGGCAGGGGCTCTCTGCCAGATGCCATCACATCTCTGGTATCCTGATCTTGCAAAGGGCTTTGCAGGCAGCTCGGTGGTAAAGCATCTGCCTGCCAAGAGGGAGACATGGGTTTGATCCCTGGGGAAGGAAGACCCCCTGGGGAAGGAAATGGCAGCCCACTCCCGTATTCTTGCCTGGAGAATCCCATGGGCAGAGGAGCCTGGTGGGCTACAGTCCATGGGGTTCCAAAGAGTCAGACACAACTGAGTGACTCAGCAGCACGAGGAGCTGTGTCAAAGGCTGCGCGGGTGTGCACGCACGCACATCCGTGCTTAGCAAAGTGAGCATGGCTGAATCCCACGGAGCAGACTTGGATACTTAGAGATTCTCAGAATTACAGAATTACGTGTTTGGGTCTGTGTCCTCGTAGAAAAGAAAGGAAAGCCCAACTTATAGAACATGGTACTCGGACTACTCAGACCATTAAAGAATGGATATTAACATCATTATGAGATATCACTTTTCAAGACTCAAATGGTAAATATAAAAAGTAGGTAAATACCCAGACTTAGAAGAAATGCAGAAAATATAGCTTGACACAATCTTTCCGAAGGTATTTGGCAGTATGTGTTGAAAACCTTAACCTGGGCCTGCTTTAATCCAGAATTCCTCTAAGAATTTGTCCTAAAGAAATGATTACAGCCAAATGCAAAGACTGAGCTCTGCTAATACTCACTGATATGCAGATTCCATTCAGAAAAATCAGAGCCAATCTGACTGTTTAAAAGAGTGAATCAATCTTTTGAAGACTGAGAAAAAAACTTTGCCCTTTTCGGGCCATATATGGTCTTTGTCACATAGCCTTAATTTGTTCACAATCCTTTCAAAAATAAACACCGTTCTCAACTTTCAGGCTGTGCAAAATCCAACCCACAGGCCCTAGTTTGCCAGCTCATAGGTAAACATGCATTTAATATGCTTATGAAATAAGTGAAAACATATGCCATGTAAAACAGTATAAGAATGATTTAATTTTAGTTTAGGTGCCTGTGTACACTAGTTCAGCTTTTATACGTGTGTATATATTTATCCACACACTGCATACGCAAAAGAGGATTAACCACATTCAAACACAATTGTCTGTCTGTATTTTCTGATATTTCTGCAGTGGTTATGTATTATTATTATTATATTATTACATGAGAAGTCATTTTCACTCTTATGTTTCAAATGCAACCTGAAAATTGTGAAATACTGACTTTCACTCCAAAATCTGTCCTCCGTTTCTTGTGGTAATAGTAAACAAATCACTTCACTTTTATTGTTCTCAATTTTTCACCAAAAAAAAAAAAAATATATATATATAACCCATGCCTCAAGGGCCACAGGTAATCAGAAAGAGAGCTGTAAAGAGGTATGGTTGTATCAGGACAGTGGTTATCATTATGATTATGCTATTTATTGATTAACCTTAGGGTTTATTTCATTTTCTAAACAGGGCCTTTGGACCCACCAGAGTTTGAGATTGTTAGTTTTACAAACCACATCAGTGTGAATGTGAAATTTCAATCCATCGATCCCAGGATACTAAGTGAAGAAGAATTACAGTTTTACTTAGCATTTATCGAAGAGCATGCAGGGAACAGTGTTAAGAGGGTAAGTGGTCAAAACAGTTCTGACTTGGCAATGAACACATTGCTAAAAGACACCTTTAATGATTTGGACAATTAAAACCTAAGGGTCTGGGCTTCATTGCTGTTTGACTTCAGGAAAGACGTCTCCAGGGTTTCTATAAAGGGGAGCAGGGAGATGCTGTGACAGCTGGAAGGGGAAGTGGGGTCTGTGGAGGGACTTGTTAGATGGAAGAAATGACAGCAGGTTTCTATGCAGAGGGAATGTTCCAGGGTGGGATGGGGGGAGTGGGGGAGGGGAGTGATGTTCTGGAGGAGATAAGAGTGGCCAGACTTTCATGAGCATGGGAAGGGGTTGACCTTGGCTCTGAGCAGGAACTATCCATCTGAGTCATCGTGGGGGAGGCAGAGTCCATGGCCACCAAGGGGGAAGGAGCTTCCAGTGAAACAGGAAGCAAGTATTGCAGACTGCAGATCACATGATGACCACAATGATCATGCCAGGCGTGGAACCCAGAGTTCTGGTGCCCAGCTATGCTTTTGCGGTTTCCCTTCAAGGCCAGAGCACTCCCACTAGGGCACTTCTGCTCCTTCTCTTTTCCTCCTCATTGTTTATTTGCCATGCATGACCTTTTAGTTTATTGATGGGTGGGGGTGAGAAAAAAAAATTCCTCCTCCTTCCCAATTGAAACTTGCAGAAAAATATTATAGAAGGCTGTATTTGAGCTGGTGGAAAGCTTCATTTATCAAACCATTGGTAAGAATGTACTTTGAAAACTATAAAACATTCTACAAAAGTTATTTTTCATGAAAGAACCTCTTCAGATCATCTCTTTAATTCTAAAATGGAACAGAAGTAGCCAGGGAAGAAGAGGCAGGCTGTTTTTAGGGAAAAGACAGGGAAATTAGACCTCAGCCTCAGTTCTGCCACAGATAAGCTGTGTGGGCTTGAGGAGGTAAACCACTCTAAGCTACAGTTTCCTCATCTGGAGAACAGGAATAATGCCTACTTTGCAGACTCTTTTGATAATCAGATGAACTAATATGTATGAAAGCAGTTTCTGAAGTGTAGATACATATCATTAATGAAGTAGGATAATCTTATTTTCTTATTTTTGCAAGGTGATCTTGAGTAACATCACCTTACAAAAATGACATCCTGGAGACCTTTGTTCCTCACTGGGTCTTTTTCTCCTCATTTGTAAAAGGAAGTTGCCAGACTAGATTTCATGGTTTAAAGACGTGTGTGTTTATACATGTGCATGTAATTTTGAATAAATCATTTGCCTGAGTAACTTATAAATAACATTTTCTTGCCAAGCCTATGATATTTCTATCCGTGTTTTTAAGATTTGAAGACCAATTCTCAAAGACTGTCTTAGGGCTTGCCTCTAAACGAAATTCTCACTTAATGTCTTACTGACTTTTTTTCTTTTTTGCACATTTTTACAGTATCAACCCCAAATAACTGGAAACATCACTGGAAATTTCAATTATGTCATCGACAAGTTAATTCCAAACACAAACTACTGTGTATCTGTTTATTTTGAGCCTAAAGATCCAAGAAAAATTAACAGATCTCCCTTAAAATGTACTCTCTTTCAACCCAGACGAGAATCAGGTATGACAGTTTTTGAAATTCATGGTTTGCTTTTCCTCTGAGGGAAAACCTATTTAAGGAAAAGAGTCTGAAAATCCTGAAGCGCTAAAGATATTTGTTCCAACAAGGCACATCACAGAGGTGTCTTCTGTTGGTCAGTTTCTACCATGTGGTAGAGGTGCTTTTATGCTGCCATCCCATGGGGACAGTCAGGTAAACTTCCGCTGCGGGAGGCTGAAGGGGAAATGATTTACTTCCGGGGCAGGTTCAGTTCTGTGTGACCTTGGTTTGGCTGTTATTCAAGTCAAGTGTTGGAGGAGACTTGGTTCGTGAAGCAACCTTCTGCAGAGGTGCCAAAGGGCAGGACGACAGTCGCAGTGAGGTCCATAGCCATGGCCTGGCTCTCCAGAAGGTTGGCTGTACCTCATGGATGACAAGGGAACTTGCCAGTGTGGATGAGCTGGTCACGGATGAAGGCCGAAAGCCCTTCTGTGGTCAAGGCATCAAAACAGTATGCAGCCTCCTCTCCAAATCTTCCTTGGAATGGAGGAGTTTGCACGGAGAACAGTCAGCCTTAGGAACATCCACTGCTCATTGTTTTCTCAGGAAGCCAACTGTTTTGCCCAGAGTGAAAATCTATGAAAATCTCCCCCAAAGAAGCCTTTCTGAATTTCCCAACTCCAGAGTTTCTTTAGTGCTCTGATTAACTGGAGTCAAAATAAGATGAGATTTAGAAGGCAGTGACTACAAGTGTGATGACTTCTTTGCAGATGAAGTGAGCTCCGCTAATGAGCAGCTAACACGTCAAGGTACCTGGTGTTTGCCATAACTCCAGGCAATGTGAGTTTATTTACAAATGTTACTCAGAATCAAATCATACACAAATCAATGTTAAAGGAAAAACTATTTCACAGCTTTAACTTAAATCATGTTTATGTCAGTTACATACGGGCAAAACTTTGCCCATATTTAGCTCAACATTCAAAAAACTAAGATTGTGGCATTCAGTCCCATCACTTCATGGTAAATTGATGGGGAAACAGTGGAAACAGTGACAGACTTTATTTTCTTGGGCTCCAAAATCACTTTGGATGGTGACTGCAGCCATGAAATTAAAAGATGCTTGCTCCTTGAAAGAAAAGCTATGACCAACAGCCGACAGAGGTCCATTAGTCAAAGCTGTGGTTTCTCCAGTAGTCATGTATGGATATGACAGTTGGACCATTAAGAAGACTGAGTGCTGAAGAATTGATGCTTTCGAATTATGGTGCTGGAGAAGACTCTTGAGAGTCCCTTGGACAGCAAGGGGATCAAACCAGTCAATCCTAAAGGAAATCAACCCTGAATATTCATTGGAAGGACTGATGCTGAAACAGAAGTTCCAATCCTTTGGCCACCTGATTTGAAGAGCCAACTCATTGGAAAAGACCTTGATACTGGAAAAGATTGAGGGAAAGAGAAGGGGACAATAGAGGATGAGATGGTTGGATGGCATCACCAACTCAATGGACATGAGTTTGAGCAGACTCTGGGAGACAGTGAAGGACAGGGAAGCCTGGCGCACCATAGCTCATGAGGTCGCAAAGAGTTGGACACGACTTAGCAACTGAACAAACCTAAAACTGCATATAGTCTCTTCATGCCTGTGGCGCTTATAAAAATGTAAACCCAAAATGAATGAACATAATTTGTGTCCTAACACCAATTCCTGGTATACTATAAAAGATTATAACTCAGGAACAGGCAGAAGGAAGAGATACACAGGACAAAACAGTTGGCTTCCTGAGAAAATAATGAACAGTGGATGTGCATATCTGTTGACATTTGGAAAGTTCCCCTGGCAATCAACCCTGTGAAGTAGAGGGTTGGAACTGTCAGCCCCACCCCTTGACTTCTGTGGAGGGGAGAAGGGCTGGAGGTTGAAGTAACCACCAATGGCCAAGAATTTAATCTATATAACGAGTCCTCCTTAAAAACCGTAAATGATGGCGTTTAGAGGTTGAAGTAACCACCAATGGCCAAGAATTTAATCTATATAACGAGTCCTCCTTAAAAACCGTAAATGATGGCGTTTAGAGAACTTCCAAGTTGGTGAACATACTGAGATACTGGGAGGATGGCGTGCCCAGAGATGGCACAGAAGTCCAAGCTCCATCCCTCATACCTGGCCCTGTGTATCTCTTCCTTCTGCCTGTTCCTGAGTTATAATCTTTTATAATATGCCAGGAATCTAGGGAGTAAACTGTTTTCATGAGTTCTGTGAGCCATTCTAGCAAATTATCAAAGCTGACAGATAGACCTGTGGGTTCTGACTAACTCCTGGTACTATCAGAAACGAGTCAGATCTCTGGACACCTGGTTGATGTTGAGAATTGGTGTTAGGACACCAATTATGTTCATTCACTCTGGGTTTCACATAAACCAAGTGAGGTTCAGAGGGGCTTGTTCTGAATAACAAAAAAAAGCTCCTTTCACTTTCTTTGCTCTTATTATTTAGGAACTTCTAAGGGTTTCAGAATTGAGGACAAAGACCAAATAGGTACTTCTTATTATAAATCAGAATATCACAGCAATAAAAACTCAGACTAGTAATAGGACATGATGGACGGTGGTTGGCTGAAACTCAGGCTGCCCTCAGGTGAACCTAAGCCTGACCAAAGGCACTGGAAGGCGATGTCCTTGCTCTGTGATGATTCAGTGCCTCCCCTGGCTCTTCTCTGTTTCACCTGCTAAGAGTGCCCATACAGCAACATGCTGGCCCATCACTTCATGTTTCCTTGGTGCAAACACATCACTTGGTCTATTTCAGCCTCTGTTCTTTTATCATACATGAGACAGTTAAGGTACAGGTATGCCTCGCTATCCAAATATTTCATGTCACAATTCTTGTCTGAAACTTCAGGAACCAAGTAGGTTCAGGTCATGTGACCCCTCTCACTGTGTAAGCTGGCCATGTGAGCCACCCTCAACTAGCTAAACTCAGGGACTAGGCAGGTTTGGATGGTGGGGGATTCTTGAAGGATGACCTGGAACCAGAGTTAAGTTACTGGGATATCAGTGGTGAAACACTGATATCTTAAAGCAGTGTTGATAAAGGGGGATTTATTCCTGAGAAATGCCTCCCTTTTTGTCAAACCTTAAACTAATCGGCTGACTTTTTTTCAGTAAGTTCCCCAGGGAACAGTGTCCTCATCCATTTGACAAATGTTTATTGGGGCCCACTATGGGCCAGATTCTCTTAGAAGAGAATACTGGGGATACAGCAGTGAACAAAACAGATAAAAATTCCTTAGTTTATAGAGCTTACATTGGGAGACAAAAGAACAAGATTCAAAAAAATAAAATATGTATTGTGTTAAGGGATGGTTAAGTATAATACTATAATACTCTGGAGAAAGGGCAGGGGAAGGGTAATGTCTGGTAAAGGATGGTAAGTCTCTTTAATTTAAATATATATATATGTATATATATATATATAATTTGACTGTATCGAGTCTTAGTTGCAGTGCATGGTTGCCCCATGGCATGTGGAATCTTCCCAGACCAGGGACTGAATCTACATCCCCTGCATGGCAAGGCAGATTCTTTACCACTGGACCACCAGGGAAGTCCCAGGTCTCTTTTAAATAGGGTGGTGTCATGTTTATGTTCTCTGGAAGCAGAGCCAAAATCAGAATTCTAGTTCAGGTGACTCAGAGGTATGAGACACATGGGTCAAGATCCCATGACATCATATAGCTCCTCCAAAGAAATCACGTAGGTTCACAGAATCCTCTTCAGGAATGTAAGCTGTATACATGTAAGGATTTTGCATTATAAAAGTGTGCCTTTATGACTAGATCTGATTAGAGAACTGCCATTAATACAACACATCTTCATTCATTCTTTTTTTTTTTTAATTTTTATTGGAATATGTGAAGTCACTCAGTCATGTCCAACTCTTTGCAACCCCATGGACTGTAGCCTACCAGGTTCCTCTGTCCATGGGATTTTCCAGGCAAGAATACTGGAGTAGGTTGCCATTTCCTTCTCCTTATTGGAATATAGTTGATTTATAATATTACGTTAGTTTCAGGTGTAGAGCAAAGTGAATCAATTGTGCATATGTATATACACTCTTTTTCAGATTCCTTCCCCATATAGGTCACTACTGTGTACTGAGAAGAGTTCCCCGTGCATGACAGCAGGTCCTTATTAGCCATCTGCTTTATACGTAGCAGTGTGTACACGTCAGTCCCAGTTCACCCCTCGCCTGCTTCCCCCTTGGCAACCATAAGTTTGGTTTTCTCATCTGTGAATCTATTCTGTTCTGTGAATAAGTTTTATTTGTACTATTTTTTTAGATTCCACGTATAAGTGATATCATATATTTGTCTTTTTCTATATTGCTTACTTCACTCAGTATGACAATCTCTAGATCCATCTGTGTTGCTACAAATGACATTTTTTCATTCTTTTTTATGGCTGGGTAATATTCCATTGTATATATGTACCACAGTCTTCTTTATCCATTCCCTGGTGGATGGACATTTAGGTTGCCACCATGTCCCGGCGATCGTAAATAGTGCTGCAGTGAACATTTGGTGCATATATCTCTGTATACATGCCCAGGAGTGGGATTGTTGGATCATATAGTAGCTCCGTTTTTAGTTTTGTAGGGAACCTCCATACTGTTCCCCATAAGTTTGTACCAGTCTGCATTCTCACTGACTGTGTAGGAAGGTTCCCTTCTCTCCACACCCTCTGCCGCATTTATTATTTGTAAATTTTCTTGATGATGGCCCATTCATTCTTGATGGGAATGAAAGGGATTCATGAGTCTTCTGCCGTCTAAGGGCTCAGATCTTCACCAAGTTTCTTTCTGTCCATTCTTTAACCTTTTAAAAGACATTAGAAAGATATGAGCCATCTTTAGGTTTTTTTCTCCTGTATTGTTTTGCTTGAGGCTATGGCTATTGGATTAATATTAATAAAAGCTTTTCTGAATATTAAAGACAGCCTTAATTCTATAAGTATTGATTTCTTCTCAGCCTAGTTGGACTTAGAAGAAAAAGCTGTTTACATTCAGAAAATTGAAATTTTCCAAAAGTCATTTTGACAAGAAGCTAAAGGAAACTCATAATAGGGCAAAACAAGATCTACCACACCCCAGTTCTGGGTTCTGGCATGGCCAAAGTCCAGCTTCCAAGTAACACAATTGTCATCTTCAGACAAACTCCTTTTTTCAACTCCTTCTGGAGACCTGGCTAGACTCAGAAACAGTTTTTTGGTTTTTTCTTTTTTTGATAATTTACATTTAAATGGTCACATGTGGCTGACTGCCACATTAATTGGACAATGCAGTCATAAAGCATAATTATCAACGGGAAGAAATTTTACTTTTAGAAACTAAATTTTAACATTTTTTTAAATGTATACTTGGATTACTTTCCATTCTTTGATATTTAACAGTAGTTTTTCCAACTTTTGCCCCCATAATAAACCCTTTCACCACCAGGTTAATATACATTTGTTCCCAACTGTGACTGTTCACTGGATTTACTTTGAAATAAAGTCATTTAATTTTTCATCAACAGAGTCATCAGAATCTGCTACAATGGGAGGAATAATTACTCTGTTTTTAATAACTGCTGTCTTCATAAGCACTGTAATGATACTGAAACGGATTGGTTATATATGCTTAAGAAATGATTTCCCCAAAGTTTTGGTATGTATTTTTTTTTCATTTCTACCTTTATTTTTCATTTTGACTTAAGAATTTTTATTATACACTTAAATATCTTCATAGAAGAAATCCCATTTTCTCAAAACATCAAGGTGAATTATCACTCTGGGTTCTTTACCATTCCTATAAACCTATATATTGCATTTTCTACTTTCTTTTCATACTTTGTCCACATATGATTTTCCATCATCCCAGTGTTCCCTTGTTATTAATGTCTCCTTTTTCCTTAATCATTTTTTAGCTGTCTGGCATTTGGATTGATATCCTTTTCATTATTTCTTTTCCTTTCATTTATTTGGCCATTAGGAGTAACACAATGAACATTTTAATACAGGTTGTCTTTTTAGTTTGGATTACTTACGTGGAATATATACACAAAGTGAATATATCTTATATGAAAATATAAAGAACTAATTCATAATGCTAGTGTCAACATCATGGTGTACACCTTTCTCCAAAGCTTTGCCAACATTGATTAATCTTTTTTTTTCTACTTGTATTCATTTATCATAGTATAACGGTCCCCCAGAGGTCTCTTACTTGTGTTAATTGTAAGTGGAACCAGCCACTTTGTCTTCGTGTTTTCTCTGTGCTTCATAAGGCATATTCTTCCTGCTCAGAATCTTTGGCACTCAACCAAGTCTAGGTATTGATCTTACATATTTCTAAAGCCTCCTCACATGTTTTGATTCAACCACTTTGTCCATCATTTTTCATTTTCCTTATCCTGTCACTTTCCTTCTACATTAGAAGATATTCAGATATTAGAAGATATTCAGATATTTCCTTCTACATTAGAAGATATTCTATGTTTGAACTCAATCATCTTCTAATTTTTTAAATAGCCACAAATAGATATTCTTCTACAGGTGGTAAAAGTATAGTCTTTTTTTTTTATTCTTTTGTTTCTTTAAATGTTTTTAATTGAAGTATAGTTTATTTGCAATGTTGTGTTCAAGTGTTCAGAAACTGATTCAGTTTAATAATATATATACAAAAAAATTTGAAAAAGAATATATATAATTTCTTTTTCAGATTCTTTTCCATTATAACTTATTAGAAGATACTGAATATAGTCTCCTGTGCTATACAATAGGCCCTTATTGTTCACCTACTTTTATGCAGTAATGAAAAAGTAAAGTGAAAGTGTTAGTCCCTCAGTCACATCTGACTCTTTGCAGCCCCACGGACTGTGCCCATCAGGCTCCTCTTAAGTTCATTTGTATCATTTTTTTTTGTCAGATTCCACAAATAAGTGATAGTGTATGATATCTGTCTTTCTCTCTGACTTGACATGTCTTTCTCCACTTAATATGATAATCTCTAGGTCCATCCAGTCTTTGCAAACGGCATTCTTTCATTCTCTGTTATGACGGCTATTCTCTTCTTTTTCTTGTTCTTGTTTGTTTAGGTTGAGTTGGGGGTGGACTGTTTGGGAGGAGGGGTGCTTGTGGCGTTTTTAATTACAATTAGTATTGGAACCTAGGTGGCATTTGGCTGTGGCTTATGAGAAGTAAACGGCTCTGTGTTGGATTTTATCCATACTGTGATTCCTGTCGTGGTTTTTATTTATCAGTGTAACTTAATCTTTTGTAGCTTTAACAGGATATCTTTCTGAGTTTTTTATGTTAGTGTTCAGTTGCAGGCTTACTCTCAACCTCCACTCCAACTCTTCCATTGGCCATGTATAGCTTTGGCTTTGAGCTCTTAGGTAAATCCCACTCCAACTGATGTTTCTCGTGCAGCCTTGAGATATAAAACCCCCTAGCACCACACCCATCACTTCCTGGATAATTTTCTGCCTGAATTACCTAAACTCATTACTAACCCTTATCCTAGGTCTCCCTGGGTTTTTCCTGTCCTTAAAATGAACCCAAAACTATATGCCAATTATATTTATACCAGTTATTATGTTATCTCCAAGTAATGACAGCAAGTATTGTTATCTTGTGTCTGTCCGCTATTTCTCCAGGAAAAATTGTTGCTCTGTGTTTAAGTACAAACTCCAGGAATAGTAAAACAGAACACCCTAGATCTAATATGTTTGTATATGTATGTCTAATCAAGAACAGAAGTTAAAAATTTTAAACTGTCTTTTCTTTTCTCCTCCCCTCCCCCCAACCACCTTCCCCCTTCTCTTCTTTTCCTCCTCCTACACCTCCTCTTTTGCATTTAACAAATATGTGTTGTATATTTACTGTATATCCACAGGAGCTGGGTGCTGGGGATCTAGATGTGAATAAAACAAACAAAAAAGATGCCCTTATGGAGGTTAAACTTTGAAAAATGGGGGGTAGAGACAATGATCATTAACAGATGATATGACTGGCTAAGTAAGAAATTCAGAATCTAGAGATGAAATATTAGGACTAATAAGTTTAGCCACATTAGCCACTTATTTCGGAGACAGCAATGGCAGCCCACTCCAGTACTCTTGCCTGGAAAATCCCATGGAAGGAGGAGCCTGGTAGGCTGCAGTCCATGGGGTCGTGAAGAGTCGGACACGACTGAGCGACTTCACTTTCCCTTTTCACTTTCATGCATTGGAGAAAGGAATGGCAACCCACTCTGGTGTTCTCGCCTGGAGAATCCCAGGGACGGAGGAGCCTGGTGGGCTGCCATCTATGGGGTTGCACAGAGTTGGACACGACTGACGTGACTTAGCAGCAGCAGCAGCCACTTATTTGGACTAATAAGTTTGTTACACACAAAGTAATCAATATAAAAATGCTGCTTTTTATACCCTAGCAATAATCACTTAAAAAAATATATGTTTTTCTATAAGTTGCTTTTCAACATTCTAGAAATTGAGTGCACAAGTCATAGCAAAAAACTGAATTTTCACAAACTCAACATACCCACATAAGTCACATCCAGATCAAGAAAGAAAACATGACCAACCCACTCCAGAAGTCTCTCTTCCACCTTTCAGTCACTGCCCATGCCCAGGATAACCACTCTCTACACTCTAACAGCGTAGATTAGTTTTACCTGGTTTTGAACTTAGAATCATACAGTTCAATGGAATCAAGCAATTTAAGTGAAATCATAAAGCTTTTAAAACATCATTGCAATAGTAATAAAAATATTTTTTAAAGTATTTAAGGAAGAAATCTAACAGAAGATGTCACAAGCCCATTGTGGGGAAAATTATCAAACCTTGTTGAAAGGCATTAACAAAGATCTAGTCAAATGGGGAGCCCAGAGACAGACTCACATATGTGGAAACAAGGTTAGGCTTAGGTTTTTGTAGGAATTGCTGTGGGGAAAGGATTGAGGTCAATAAATTCTACCTATGTGGGGAAAAATGAAATCAGATTCCTACCTCACACCATACACAAACATCAATTTCAGGCATATTAAAGACTGTCATATGAGCAGCAAAACTATTGAAAGTTTTAGAAGGCCATATAGGAGTCACACTTAAAGGTAAGGAAGATTCAGCAGAAACCATGGAGAAAGAAAATTTATACACCTTCTTAAATTAAGATGGAAATTTTCTTTCCATTAAATGTCATCATAACGAGTAAAACGTTAAACCACAGACTAGGGGAAAATACATGCAGCATAAACAATCAACAAATAATGAGCATCTAGGTTAAATAAGTTCTCAGTCACGTCCAGCTCTTTGTGGTCCCATGGACTATAGCCTGCCAGGCTCCTCTGTCCTTGGAATTTTCCTGACAAGAATACTGGAGCAGGTTACCATTTCCTACTCCAGGGGATCTTCCCAACCCAGGGATCGAACCCGCATCTCTTCTGTCTCTTGCACTGGCAGGCGGGTTCTTTACTACTAGGGCCACCTGGGAAGCCCCAAAGTTATATAAACAGCCTCTATAAATAAATAAGAAAAATGACGAAACAACCCAATGGATCAATTCATCCTAAGGCTGCATCTGAATAGAGTCAGGGAAAAGTAGGCTTGTCACATTGCGCGGCCTGAGCAAGACAATGGAAAGGAGAAGGATGTCGACGATGATGCAAGGTCTGTGAAGGGAATCTCGTGACCACCCTCCTCAACGTGACCCCATTGTAGCCAGTCTCCTTAGCCCACCTCACCTGTTGTATCCTGGAGGTGCTGGATACAACCTCCAGTCTCCCTGCTTCTTCTCATCTCTGACGCTTTAGGGGTCACCTGCGTCTCTAAGGTCCTCCAGTCCAGGGAGCTCTGACCCCAGTGGAATCAGCTCCCTAGAATCTCTCCTTACTCACAGCTCCCTGACACCTATAAGAATGTCAGCAATCCAGAGGTGAAATCTATCCAGTTGAAATCTATCCATCTATCAAATCTATCGATGGATAGATTCCCCTGACAAGCAAGAAGCAGAAAGGGGACAGCAGTGAGAAGGAGTGGGCCAGTCTCTACTGCAGGCAGCCTCCAGTTTGAAACCCAGCCTCCACCACTGAGAATCCCTTGAAACTTAACCTCTCTGCATTGTCAAGTGGGAGCAAGACTAGTAAGACTCCTTCATAGAGAAGTCATGAGGATGCAGTGGACTCTAACAGGTAGCTTACTAAAAGCAGTACCCCGCAAACAGTAAACCCTGTATGGCTGTCCGCTATGGTCGTAGCTGCTGTCATCGTCTTCATGACCACCTTTTACGTCTCTGTGCAGTTAGTTAACGCCATTAAGTTTTATGATGTCAAAAAGATGGAGAACAAACAGTCAGGATTGATCATTCTCCCCCTCTCTTTTTTTTCTTTAAAGAATTTTCGTGAACTGTCAGTCTGGGTGTTTCCCGAGCTGCCTCCGTTGGAAAAAGTGGCTACCGTGGAGGTCATTCACATCAACAGAAAAAAGAAAGTGTGGAATTATAATTATGACGATGAAAGTGATGCCGAAAATGAAGCAGCTCCCTGCGTAAATTCTGGCGGTTACACCAAGCATGGACTAACGGGCAGGCTGTGTCCAGCTTCCACCACTTCAGCCAGCTTGGAGGACTGCAGCGACCCCAGCGCCGAGGAGCCGTACCTGCCTGAGCCCAGGGGGGATGCTGAGACCCCCATGGCACCAGGGCCCGGCCCCTGGCGGTCGGAAGGCACAAGTGGGGGCTACCAGGCGAGAGGGACTCTGCGGCAGGACCCCACTTCCGAGGAGGACAGCGATTCCTCGGAGAGATCTGAGGGCAGAATTGTCTTCAACGTGAATCTGAACTCTGTGTGTGTGAGAGCTCTCGAGGACGACAAGGACGCAGACGTCACCCTAATGTCCCCGTCTCGTCCAGAAGAGACAGTCGTGCTGGAGGACCTCAACGAGACAGGATCTAGCCTTTTGGTGGCCAGTGAAGAACGGACACAGCTGCCCTTCACCGACCCCTCTATGGAGTGCCTGAGGCCCCAAGATGCTCCTTCTGATCAAAGTGACACTTCCGAGTCAGATGTTGACATGGGGGATGGATATATAGTAAGACAAGTGAATCTAAAAAAATTTAATTAACTTGGACACGCTGCCTCCAGGCCTCACCCCCTACCCCCGGCACCTGCACTTGCTCCTTTGGGGTCTCCGAGTGTTCTCCGTCGGGAGGAGTAGGAGACTGGTGACATCATCTATGCAAAGTCTCACTCTGGGGGAAGGGCAGGTGGGAAACAGTATTCTGATACCATTCAGTGCGTTGTTTACCTGTTCAAGGCAATTTGCCTTGATGGGAAAAATGCCTTGCCCGTTCCCTTTCCTCTCACGGATGTCTAATGTTTCTGCATCGTGCTTCCCAGAGTAAAGAACAAGGCTCCCTGTGGTTTTCAGGGGATGTTCCAGGGCCCTGTAAGATTTCTGGGAAATTATTAAATCGGGTCAGTGTGGAGTAGGGAGAGAAAAGGAAAACATTCAGCAGAGTTCATAGCAGGAGCAGTCAGCAGTGGGTTTTTTTCCCCCCACAGGCTTGAGGAAATACCAGAAAAGACACAGAAAAAGAAGAGGGAGGGCGGGCAGTTACAAAGCAAGGACATGCACGAGGCAAGCACATGCTTTGGGTGGGGACTGGAAGAAAGGAAGCCCCAACCAAGTCTGGGGCACCCCCAGACAATATTGTGTCGCCTACACGCTTGAGAGTTCATCTCTCAGCCCCTGATCCAGCCCTCCTCAATCTGAGTGAGGAAGGCAGACACACACATAATAACTCTGGTGCCAGACAGGTGACTAACAGAGAAACATTTTCATGAGGGAGAGGGTCTGTGTCATGTTTTAAGGTATAATTTTGTACAGTGGTTGGTAAAAAATAAAGTGTATACTTTTTAATATAAACTTGGAAATGTCTCCACATTTGTTTCTTATTAGACAGGAGACATATGCAGCGGATGTGTAGTTCTGCTGGCATCTCTGGGCTACACAAAACTGCCTCTAACTACTTCGTGGCCTTTGGGAGCCAAAGGGACCTTCTGCCTCCCTGAGCAGTGTTCATGTGGAATGTTCTAGCAACAGAAGTCAGCCAGCATCTTACATCACCTAGTACTTACCCTGCCCTGGGTTTTCCAACCTCACCACTGCTATTAAATAACACATTGAAAAAGAGAAAATTAAGCCTTTGTCAGCAGTCTTGTGAGAGAAGTGATTCCAGTCACATAAATGACTTGGTTCTCTGTTGCTGCTTATCCCTGTGGGGAGAGGGGAGTTACCGTAAAGAAGATCCTCCCAAGCTAGATTTGCTAAAGGAGTGCTTTAAAATCAGTTTATTTGCGGGGGAGAGGAGATCAGAGACCGCACCTGTTCACTGGAGAAAATTTGGGGATTCAGATGTTTAAGCTGCTTTTAGAAAAGGCAGAGGAACCAGAAATCAAATTGCCAACATCCGCTGGATCATTGAAAAAGCAAGAGAGTTCCAGAAAAACATCTATTTCTGCTTTATTGACTATGCCAAAGTCTTTGACTATGTGGATCACAATAAACTGTGGAAAATTCTGAAAGAGATGGGAATACCAGACCACCTGACCTGCCTCTTGAGAAACCTATATGCAGGTCAGGAAACAACAGTTAGAACTGGACATGAACCAACAGACTGGTTCCAAATAGGAAAAGGAGTATGTCAAGGCTGTATATTGTCACCCTGCTTATTTAACTTATATGCAGAGTACATCATGAGAAATGCTGGGCTGGAAGAAGTACAAGCTGGAATCAAGACTGCCAGGAGAAATATCAATAACCTCAGATATGCAGATGACACCATCCTTCTGGCAGAAAGTGAAGAAGAACTAAAGAGCCTCTTGATGAAAGTGAAAGAGGAGAGTGAAAAAGTTGGCTTAAAGCTCAACATTCAGAAAACTAAGATCATGGCATCTGGTCCCATCACTTCATGGCAAATAGATGGGGAAACAGTTGAAATAGTGGCTGACTTTATTTTTCTGGGCTCCAAAATCACTGCAAATGGTGACTTAAGCCATGAAATTAAAAGATGCTTACTCCTTGGAAAGAAAGTTATGACCAACCTAGACAGCATATTAAAAAGCAGAGACATTAGTTTGCCAACATAGGTCCGTCTAGTCAAGGCTATGGTTTTTCCAGTAGTCATGTATGGATGTGAGAGTTGGACTATAAAGAAAGCTGAGCCCTGAAGAATTGATGCTTTTCAACTGTGGTATTGGAGAACACTCTTGAGAGTCCCTTGGACTGCAAGGAGATCCATCCAGTCCATCCTAAAGGAGATCAGTCCTGGGTGTTCATTGGAAGGACTGATGTTGAAGCTGAAGCTCCAATACTTTGGCCACCTGATGAGAAGAGCTGACTCATTGGGAAAGATCCTGATGCTGGGAAAGATTGAGGGCAGGAGGAGAAGGGGATGACAGAGGATGAGATGGTTGGATGGCATCACCGACTCGATGGACATGGGTTTGGGTGGACTCGGGGTGTTGGTGATGGACAGGGAGGCCTGGCGTGCTGCGGTCCATGGGGTCGCAAAGAGTCGGACACGACTGAGCGACTGGACTGAACTGAGCTGAACAGTGTTAAGAAAAACCATCACCACCCTTAATGCCACCATCCAGATATCAGCTCTGGGTTGGTTCTGTGTTAGTATGTCAGCCGTCTCCGACTCTTTTGAGACCCTGCGGACTGCAGCCCCCAGGCTCCCCTGGCCATGGGATTCTCCAGGCAAGAATACTGGAGTGGGTGGGAGGCCATGCCCTTCTCCAAGAGTATGTTCCTGACCCAGGAAGCAAACCCGGTCTCCTGCGTTGCAGGCAGATTCTTTACTACCTGGAGTGTTTTCATTTAACTTGAGGGCTCCTTCCAAAGCACGCGTTTACTGTAATCGGGGACACCGCCTGTACAGTTTCGTACCCTGTTTTACTAAGGGTGTTTTCCGCTCACCCGCAGGCGAAAAGTCCCCTTTCACCTCTGTTTCTGCCACAGTCAAGCCGGTGACAGCGGTCTCTGGAGCCGGGCGCGCGGGGGCGAGGCCCAGGAGGGGCGGGGCGGGGCGGGGCGGGGGCGGGGCGCGGCCCAGGCGGGGCGAGGCCTCTATCGCCCCGCCCCTCCGGTTCCCGGAAGCAGCCTCGGAGCTGGCAGGCTGGCGCTCGTTCGTGGGACCCCGGCATACGGGGTGGGGGGTGTGCCCTGGTGCCCGGCGGCTGTCCGCGGGGCTACCCCCGAGCGCCCTCCCGGGCTCCCGGCGCGACCATGGCGCGCAGCCTCCGGAGCTGGCTGGGCGGTTGCCTCCTGATGTCAGGTGAGGGGTCTAAGGGGAGGGGACCCCGGGTAGTCTCCGGGGCGTCGGCTCGACCGCCGGGGCTGCCCGCGCGGGAACCCCGACTTGCCTGTGGCGCTGCGTCCCGACTGGAGGAAGTGCGCTCGGGACGCGGGAGGCGTGGCTACGACCCCAGGCAGCTTTGACCGGCAAGGACGAACCCCCTCCCCCGCGAGGGCACCCCCAGAGGCTCACTAAAAGTGTCTCAAGTTTCTGGGCCGGCCGTCAGGCCCAGCACCCCAAAATCTGAATTCTGCCCCTCAACCCCTACAGCTCTAGGGCTTCTGAGCTCTAAATCCAGTGAAACCTTTCCTGTCCTACTCCAAACTGCCTCTGTGTGTGTATTAGTCACTGAGTCGTGTCCGACTCTTTGCGACCCCATGAACTGGGGCGCGCCAGGCTTCTCTAGAGGTCCATGGGATTCTCCAGGCAAGAATACTGGAGTGGGTGGCCATTCCCTTCTCCAGGGGATCTTCCCTACCCAGGGATTGAACCCTGGGTCTCCTGCATCCTAGGCAGATTCTTTACCACTTGAGCTACAGGGAAGTCGTCTAAACTGCCTGCCCAGTTTCAAATAACACTATGGATCCCTCCTGCCTTTCTGATGAATTCATCCTGGGTCTCCCAGGATCCCTCATTCTCCGGTTTCCCTCCCACCTATATCAGGTTGTTTCTCCCTGGGATTCTCCACCTCTATCAGACCTCCATACAGCCAAGTTCATACCCAGCCCTCTTCTCTCCTTCTCCTACACTACTCCTCTGGGGGCTACCAGCAGAACTTTGGCATTAAATACCAGCTCTGGGCTTCCCTGGTGGCCAAGGTAGTATAGAATCTGTATAGATTCTGTATAGTATATAGAATCTGCCTGCAATGCAGGAGATCTAGGTTCGATCCCTGAGTGGGGAAGATCCCTTGGAGAAGGAAATCGCAACCCACTCCAGTATTCTTACCTGGAGAATTCCACGGACAAAGGAGCCTGCCAGCTGCAGTCCATGGGATCCCAAGGAGTCTAACACTGTGGAGGGACTAACACTAACATTGGACTTCCCTGTTGGCTCAATGGTAAAGAATCTATCTGCCAGTGCAGGATATGTAGGTTTAGTCCCTGGTCAGGGAAGATCCCCTGGCGTAGTAAATGGCAATCCACTCCAGTAATCTTGCCTGGGAAATCCCATGGTTAGAAGGAGCCTGGTGGGCTCCAGTCCATGGGCTTGCAGAAGAGTCGGACACTACTTAACGACTGAACGACAACAACGTGGGCTCGTGACTTTCAAATTTCTATCTCTTGGCGCTAGTTGGGTGATGGTCTGGTGGCCATTATTATACTCTTCTCTGTACTTCTGTGTATGTTTGGCATTTTCTGTTAAAAAGTTTAACAACTGTTTCTATCTCTAGCTCAAATCTACCCTCTGTGCCCCAGGCTTATTCATCCAGCTGTCTCTGACATTCCTACTTATGTATCCTTCAGTATCTCAAACCTAATGCAAATCCTAAAATTGTTGTTTTTATTCAATTGTTCAGTCGTGTCTGACTCTTTTCGACTCCATGGACTGCGGCACGCCAGGCTTCCCTGTCCTTTGCTATCTCCCGGAGTTTGCTCAAACTCATGTCCATTGAGTCAGTGATGCCATCCAACCATCTCATCCTCTGTCATCCCCTTCTCCTCCTGTCTTCAATCTTTCCCAGCATCAGGGTCTTTTCCAATGAGTCAGTTCTTCGAATCAGATGGCCAAAGTATTGGAGCTTCAGCTTCAGCAACAATCCTTCCAATGAATATTTACTGTTGTTTGATTTCCACCCCCAGCCCCAGTCAGAGCTTTAGGTGCTTAAGCAGGGAGTGGATATTAATATCTACTTCTTCACACCGAGTGTATCAGGAAGTCTAAAGTTTATACCTCTGGAAATAGATTTAAAATCTACCCTCTCACACCATTCTGTTGTGGTTTAGTGACTAAGTCATGTCCTATTCTTTTGTGACCCCATGGACTGTAACCCACCAGGCTCCTTCTGTCCATGGGATCTCCCAGGCAAGAATACTGGAGTGGATTACCATTTCTCCAGGGGATCTTCTCAATCCAGGGATCAAACCCATGTTTCCTGCATTGGCAGGCGGATTCCTTACCACTGAGCCATTTGGGAAACCCTCACACCTTTCTACCACCACCCAAATTCCAGGTCACCCTCATCCATCCCTGCTTCTCTATTGCTTTCCTTCTCCCCTTAGCAATTTCTTCTCTTCAAATAGAATCCAGACTCCTCAGCACCACTTAAGTATGTCTCCCTCTCCCACAAGCCCATGTGAAGACTTTGAGCCATAGAGTACATGACCTGAATATTGGACATGGTTATTTTCTTGGACAACCGTTTTGAGAAAGAGAGTTGCCAACTCTTTTCCCTTTATGTTTACAGCATTAGGAATGGTGCCACCTCCTGAAAATGTCAGAATGAATTCAGTTAATTTCAAAAATATTCTACGGTGGGAGTCACCTGCTTTTCCCAAGGGGAATCTGACGTTTACAGCTCAGTACCAAAGGTAAGTGTGGGGCGCTCTTGGCAGGAGGGCACCAGAGGATGGTGACCTTGGCAGGGCTGGTCACTGGGCTGGACTGAGGAGAGAGCCTGACTGCTGTCACCCAAGTGACCGTAACAGCCCAGGGAGAGCATTTCCCCTGGCCTTTTTCATTCTGTCCCAGAATCCTTGTGAAAGCTCTGTTCCCCGAAAACAGACAGTAAAATCCTTTCTCCTGTTTCTTGTGATGGTGCATGGTGTGACAGACATTTTAGCCTATAGATCATGGCTATCATCAGCCACCATGGCAGCTTGCTGCAATGTGAACTTATCAGGCTTGTCACTGTTGATGTTTTTTAAGAGAAAAATGCCAGTGATGAGACCATCTTCCAGTTATTAGAGTAGCATTGCTGAAAGTGAGAGTGTTAGTTGCTTAGTCGTGAGCAACTCTATGCCACTCCATGGACTGTAGCCCACCAGGCTCCTCTGTCCATGGAATTCTCCAGGCAAGAATACTGGAGTGAGTAGCCATTCCCTTCTTCAGAGGATCTTCCTGACCCAGGGATCAAACCCAGGTCGCCTACATTGCAGGCAGATTCTTTACCATCTGAGCCACCAGGGGAGCCCAGAGTAGTATTGCTCGAAGTCAACAGTTTGTAAGTGGGAGCTATCCAAGAAAACCGAGGTATGCACAGCACGCAGGAAGCCCCTTGCTGGCTTACCACCCACCCGCCTAGGATATAAACTGCATACCTCAGTGGTGGGGGCTACAGATCATGTGCCTAGTGGGTGCTCAGCGACTCTGAGGTTGTGTCCCGAAACTGAATTGTAAGAGAGCTGCTGGCTGTTGAAAGCCGTCTCCTCTGAAGCCAGCAGAGGCTTAAGAAGGAAGGGTGAGTGTCACCCCCTGCTGTTACCTCAGTGATGCCCCGAGCTCCCGGGGCCCGCCCTCCCTGTCAGTCTCTCCCTGTGTCGGGCCTGCTGCCGCATGTCACAGGCTGGGCTGCAGGTGACGCGTCTTTGTGTGGGGCGCAGAGCAGCAACAGGAGGCCAGGGGCAGAGAGCTGCACGCCTGCTCCCCGAGCGACTCAGAAACGGCCAGAGGCAGGTACGCTCCCTCAGTGAGCCGGGAGGAGATGCAAGATGCAGGCGCTTTGGCCCTGCACGCCTCGCTTTCCCAACATATCCAGAGCTTGCTGAGTCAGAGGAGGAGAAAGATAAATAAGATCACCTTTGTTTACTTGTTTTTTCAACTTTTTAGTTCCAAATAATTCCCAAGTAGCAAACCATTTCAAAATGTCAAGTATAATGCATAAAACTTCCAAATAGCCTTTATCCACATTCACCAGTTTGTAAGGTCTGCCACAGTGTGGTGTCTGTCCTACATAATGCTTTCTGCCCCTTGATATTTCATTGTGTGTTTCGTAAGAGCGAGGATAACCTTTCACATCACTGTAGCAGCAGCATCTAAGATTTGGCAGTTTAACCAGTGATACAGTCCTGCTATCTCAGTCCATGTTCCAGTTTTGTCAGTTTCCCTGAGGACTTAAGAAGGGTCAGCCAGAGACTTGATTTTTTTCTCCTGCCATGTATTTTCTAGCCTTGATTGGTTAATTTCATCTCTGTGTTTTCTCCATTCTGTCTTGATAGCTCTGGGGATTTTGTTATGGAAAATTAACTTCCCTCTCTGTCTCTCTCTCTCCCTGTAGTGTATTTCTTATTGTTCTGTTTTTTGTTTCTTTGCCATTGGAGTAGAAGTGTTTGGTTTTAGATGTTTGTCTTTTAGATGAGAGCTGCCAATAACCAAGAGTGGATACCTGGATTCCAGTCTCCTGAACAAGGATGTGCAGGCCTCTGCTGGGGAAAACAAAACATACGCTGGGTGTGGAAGAAGCTTGACCCTGAAAAATGTGTTTATCCTTCTATGGCTCTAGAAAACATTTGATTAGAATTCAGCCTGAGCGGTCACACAGCACAGACTCTCATTGTCTGTGTGCGTTGGATAGGGGTGGCCAAGGGTGGGGCTTCAAAGAATGTACTGGTGATTTTAATATGGAGCCATCTAAAACAACTAGGTGTAAATACAGGGAACAAATCATGTTAACTACTTAATGGAAATAAAAATATGTGTAGATACTATTAAAAAATGACCTAAGGAAAGGGAAGTCACTGCAAAATAACTGTTGAAATACTCTGTGTTCCAGTCAATTGATGCATCAGTTTAAATGCGAGGAAGAAATGGCCACATGTGGGAAGACCCCCTTCAAGGGAACGACCCCTGGATTTTCCCAATGATGGGATGTTAAGTGGCCATGAAAAGTTGATTGATTGAGAAAGTGTTTGTGGCCTATTAAGTGAAAAAAGCAGACAGTAAAAAAGCATAAGCCCACTTATCTCTGCCTCCTAAGAGTGGGGTGGAGTGTGGGGGTGGCGCTTTGAAGTCAAGCAGACCTGAGTTCTGTGAGCGAGTTTCTAGACTTTCCACCCCTGTGCCTTGTCTGTAGAATAAGGGTGATGTCACTTCTGCCCTCCTGCAGTTGTGAAAATTCGGTGGGGTAATACTGTTGAAGTAGCACACTGCTGGACACCTGCATGCTTGACAAACGTTGGTTGTTATTATTTTTATCACCTTCATTGTCACCTCTGAGGGCAGCTAGATTGTTTTTGGCACCAAGGCAGGAAGGTGCCAATCAGACAAAATTCTTACTTTTTGCAAGACAAGATCCTGGATCAGGATCTTCCTTACATCAGGTGGCGCTGATTATAGTTCCTGAGGCTGTTGTGAGGTTAAGTTACATCCCTTTCCTTCCACACCATGTTTCTGCCACCCTCCCTCTGGGTGTTGGCCTGGAGATCTGAGACCAATGAGTTTTTTTAATAATTTTTCCAGCATGATTGAGCCAAAGTCACATATAGGACATTATTTGAAATCATTGTGATGTACCTATTTTGGTTAATGTATGTATACTGACATTTCACAGACTATGCCCCACAACTTTCAGAGATACATAAGCAAAAAGGGAAGCTTTCTCGGTCAAATATGTTGAATAGTCAACCCCTTTTTGGAAAGACATGTGCTCTGAGAAGTTCTGTTGAGAAGAGACATCTATTCATGTTTCACCTCATTTTTGCCCCAGGTTTTTTGACCATGGGATGGATTGTTTTTGAAATGTCTTAATGATACATCAAGGATCATTAAGGTCCCATGGAGCACAGTTTAGAAAATGCACTGACAACCTCAGAGAGACAGAGGTTTGACCTTGCTTTGCTGAAAGTTTTACTTTCATTTCAGGTTCAAAGGATTTGTTAACAAAAGAAACCACTCATTACATACAATTAAACAATTTCAATCCTTAATAGAGGATTATTTAACTTAATTTCAATATACAGTCATTAAAAGAAGAGAAATAGAAATGGTAGGAAAGAGTAACAGCACATGCATCACCAAATTGGGCCAACCGACATCCCAATTAAACAGAGTCGGGAAGTCCCTGGTTAATAGTAATCTGGAATCCCAATTGGAAAAACGTCCTGGGTAGTGTGTTCACTCCATGGGTTAGACTTCAGATTGCAGTTTCGGAGGCTCTTGCCTATAATCCCCGGCCAAAAACTAATGTCATCAGTTTGCACCCCAAAATGCAGCTCTCATTTTACTCTAATATTTTTATGGTGCTGTTTGTTTTATCTTGTGGACCATAGGATTTTGTTAAACCCCAGGAGTGGTTGGCCAGACCTCCAGGAGCTCCCTGGTGGATCAGCTGGTAAAGAATCTGCCTGCCATGTGGGAGACCTGTGTTCAATCCCTGGGTTGGGAAGATCCCCTGGAGAAAGGAACAGCTACCCACTCCAGTATTCTGGCCTGGAGAATTCCCTGGACTGTATAGTCTATGGGGTCGCAAAGAGTCAGACACAATTGAGTGACTTTCACTTTCACCAGAAGCTCAAGAATTCCAAGATCCAGTCCCTTTCTTATCTAAAGTGCTGCCTGACTAGCTGTGCTTATGGGCAGGCCTGGAATCCAGGCAGGTCAGAAGCAAGGTCAAGGGCCTGCTTTCCTGCTTCTGAAGCCTGAACAAGACTTCCTCCATTTTAATTTCCCAAATAGAATTCTCATGATTTTTTTTTTTTTCTGATTTTGTAGTTACATGAAATTCCAAGATACATGCACGAGTATTTTGTTGACAGAATGCGATTTCTCAAGTCTTTCCAAGTATGGTGACCACACCTTGAGAGTCAGGGCTGAATTTGCTGATGAGAGTTCAGACTGGATAAACATCACCTTCTGTCCTGTGGATGACAGTAAGCCACCTTAGTTTTCATCTCATTGTAATGTCATCACCCTGCCTTGCTTATTTCACCCTTGGTTGGCCCATGGGCAAAAATTCTTTTGAGTGCCCACCAAGTGGATGGCCTTGGATAAGGAGCAAAGCGGTTGTAATAAAGAGAGCTGTAACCTTAAGGAAGTTTGTGGGAGAGACAGAACAGGATCAGCATAAGGCAATAAACATAGTACAGGTTTATTATTTATTATTATCTGTACAGCTCCTTAACTGAACAGACTTATCAGTTCCTGACTGGTTCCAAATCCTATCTTAGGGCCCATTTATGGAAGTTCTCTTTAGAACTGATGCCAAATATCAGTATATATGCAGTTTGCCCCAAGGTCACAGAGGTGGTGAGCAGGCAACACAGGAGCTCACCCAGGCCTCCTCTGTGCCAGGGCTCTCAGCAGTGACTACCCCACATCCGCTATTTGCCTCTTGAAGTTTATATGATGGGAGAGTGCTTCAGAATGTCATGTGGACTTATTTATACTTGCTTCAGAAAACACATGATGAATGTGCTTATCTGGTCTTCAGCTTCTAGCAGGGTAGAAACAGGGTAGAATGCTAACCCAGGCCTATTTGCAGCCCCCCAGATGTAACAGTCAGCAGACAAGAATATCAGGTATAACTCAAACAGCATGCTTGCCCGGGGCCATTCATGATTCATTCCACAGTTATTATTGAGCACCTTCTGTGTGCCAGCACCTACTGTGTGCTGAAGCTACAGCAGTGAACAAAACAAAAACCCCTGCCCTGGTGAAATGTACATTCTGATCGGGAAGACAGGTGATAAATAAACAGATACATATTTTATGACAGATAGTGACCGTGGCTCTAAAGAAAATAAAGTAGGTGCCAGGACAGGGAGTGGTGGAAGCTGCTCTTTACATAGCATGGTGAGACAGTTCTCTCTGAGGTGGCGGCAGTTGGCCAGAGACCCAAATGTGTTGAAGGGACCCGTCACGTGAATGTCTAGTAAAAGAGCTTTGGGGAGGGGGGAGTGGTTTCAGACTTTGTTGGAAAATGTATTTGTTGGAAAGTGGTTTAAATATATAGGTTATATAGGTTAAACACTAAAAATAGAAATACCATCTCTTGCTTCCAACCCAGCAATGGAAATAAAGAAAACTCAACCCAACCAAAAAATAAAAATAAAAATGAAAGGGAGAGGGGGGAGAGGAATAAGCCATTAAAAACAAAAAAAGCAGTCTTTACAGAAAACACAAAGTAATGTAGTTGGAGTAATTGCAAATATATCAGAAATCACAGTAAATGTAGAAGGACCAAACCTGATTGATAAAGGCAAAGGTAAAAAGAATTTTTTTTTTTTTAAGAAACAAAATCTAACTGTCCTTAGCCACATCAGTCAACATCACCACAGTGGTGTATCAAAGGGCAGAGTACTTCAGTAGCCCAGTTGGTCTGCCCAGTTACAAAAAGTAAATGTTGATGTTTCTAACATGTGAATCTTGGTTGTCATTTTGCTTTGTTCTCGTCCTCAGCCATTATCGGACCTCCCAGAATGCAAGTAGAAGCACTTGCTAATTCTTTACATATGCGTTTCTTTGCCCCAAGAATCGAGAATGAACCTGAACCGTGGACCATGAGGAACATTTATAACTCATGGACTTATCATGTGCGGTATTGGAAAAACGGCTCTGATGAAAAGGTAAGTGCGGTGAATCACACCCGTTGCCGATGTCAGCTCCCTGTCCTCTGCGCAGCGCTGGCTGGAGACCACGATAATGGAGAAAAGCTTTGCCAGGTGGCAGCACCTTATGGTCCAGAGGATCTCAGGCCTGGCCCTCGGAGCTCCAGAAGGTACCCGTTCTGGGGCTGGCTGGTGTGTCTGGTCACACTTCCCAGGCTTCAAGGGCAGACTTCCTGGGTGCTGGTGCAGGAGAACAAGCCTTTCTCTCCCCAGAGGGAGATTGCTGGAGAAGGCCAAGCTGACTCAGCCGCTGGCTGGGGGAGGGTGGGGTCCCTGGAATCCGGTGCATGAGGCCCCACATACTCCACAGGATAGTCAAGCCCGTGGTCAGGGCAGCCCCAGCCCTGGATGCATGTTGGGGGTCATGTTCCATAGGACTGACCCCGCCTCTCCCCATTGCTCTCCTCTTCTTTCAGTTGCAATGCCTTTCAGAACATGAGCTGGGACTGGGAAGGCCCTGCTGGCATGTTGCCCTGCCCATGTGTGACTCTGGTCACGGTCTTGACCTCAGCTTCTCAGGTCTGCAAAATGGGCATGTAACCCAGTTCATTAATAAAGTGGAGAGAATAACCTACTTTGGGGTTTCCCTGGTGGCTCAGCAGTGCAGAATCTGCCTGCAGTGCAGGAGACCCGGGTTCAATCCCTGGGTCAGGAAGCTCCACTGGAGGAGGCCACGGCAACCCGTTCTTAGTACCCTTGCCCGGAGAATCCCATTGACAGAAGGGCCTGGCAGGCTGCAGTCCATAGGGTCACACAGAGTCAGACACAACTGACACATCTAAGCAGCAGAAGTAACTTACCTCACAAGGTTGTTGAGGAATTTAATGACATAATGAAAAAAGTAAAAAGAAAGGTAAACTTGTCCCATCGCCTGAACAATGTGTATGGGTCAATATGTGAGTCCCTTCCCCTTGTGTAGACATTCATCTTTGGTCACCTTTAATTCTTTTAGTGCTTCTGAGTCGAATGTCATTTCTGGTCCTAAACTGACTTACATATATGTTATGTAAGTTATGTTACATATATGTTATCTCCTCTACATTAAATCACTACTGCTCATGCATTTGGCAAGAACAGGTCACCCATTTGTATTGTCTGAAGTGAAGTGAAGTGAAAGTCGCTCAGTTGGGTCCGACACTTTGCAACCCCATGACTATACAGTCCATGGAATTCTCCAGGCCAGAATACTGGAGTGGGTAGCCTTTCCCTTCTCCAGGGGATCTTCCCAACCCAGGGATCAAACCCAGGTCTCACGCATTACAGGAAGATTCTTTACCAGCTGAGCCACAAGGGAAGCCCAAGAATACTGGTGTGGGCAGCCTATTCTTTATCCAGCGGATCTTCCTGACCCAGGAATCAAACCGGGGTCTCCTGTGGTGCAGGCAGATTCTTTACCAGCTGAGCTACCAGTGAATCCTGTATTATCTGAGAAATGATGTAATTAAATTTATATCTACATACTGTGTAGTCCCCCAAAATCTCAAGTTAATTTCCCCCCAAAAATGCGCCATTGTGATCAATTCATAATGTATACAAATATCAGACCACACTGTTGTACACCTGAAACTACTAAGATATTGTGTATCAACTACACTTTATTTCGTTAAATGATATAGGATATCTGCCTTCTTCACAGGAAAGATGATTTTGCTTATAATCAAGACCCCGAGATTCTGTGTGTCTAGGAAGCAGTACAAAACAATAAGTTTTATGATTACTTGTTGAATGCAGGGGTCCCTGCTAAGCTCTGAGATACAAAAATAACTCCTGGAGCTAGCAGGAGATTAAGGATCTGATTAAGAATCAGATTCCACAGTTAGCCAGGGCCTGAGTGCCTCCTGCCCCAGGCATGAAATGTAAAATTCAGTCTATCTTTAGCTTCTTATCTAGAATATGCCCTCAGGCCTGGCATCTGGTTGCACATTTGTTCCTTCCTTCCACCTGTGGTGGGAAGACTTTGGTGTGAACACGCGGAGTGTGGGAAAGGCTGCGTGCTCCCCAGCGTGTGCCTCACTGGTGCCCGCGGGGCCGCCTCCACCAGTTTATCATGCTAGCAGCCCAGTGTTTGTGTCGCTTTACCCCTGCCCAGCCCTCACCCTTCTGCAAATCCAGTCCCCAGTGTGATGGTGTTAGGAGGTAGATCATAAAGGTGGAGCCCTTGTGAATGGTCTTAGCGCCCTTTTAAAGGAGGCCCCAGAGAGCTTCCTCACCCCTTCCACCCCTTGGGGAGGACTCAGCAGGAAAACCCAGTTATGAACCAGGAAGCAGGCCCTCCTGAGAGGCCAAATCTGCTGGTGCTTTCATCTTGGACTTCCCAGTATCCAGAGCTGTGGGAAAGAAATGTGTGTCAATAAGCCACCCAGTCTTTGGCATTCTGTTTACAGCAGCCTGAAAGAAATAAGATTAAATGGTTTCCTTTTAGAATGCAAGTGTCTCTGAGAGAGTGCCACCAGTTCAAGTCCCTGAGCTAAAAATATTAAAAGCATCTAGAAATTCTTTCTTCCTGGAAGGAGAAAGTGAGGAGATAAAACCGGAAGTTGGGGCTTCCCTGGTGGTCCAGTGGTGAAGAATTGGCCTTGCAATGCAAGGGACTATACTTGTCATGTTTCACTTGGTACAATCCAGTTCTTGCCTTCAGGGAGCTCATATTCTCATACAATAAAAGAATAGAGACAAGCTGTCAGCAAGCCCAGCACCCAAAGAAAAGTAACCAATTACTAAAGTGAAAACAGTCTGTGCTCAGTCTCTATTGAAAGTCCTATTCACATGGTAAATTTTTCATAAGGCCCTGTTATAAGGAGTTTGTAACCATGCTGGAAATACAGGCCATGTGTACTCTTTTAATTCCCTTTATTTTGCTGGAAACTATTGTTACCAAATCCAGGCTCACTCTGCTCACCACACTACAAGCCAATAAATCAGAGAGGAGGTATTGAGCCAAGGAATAATGACTTTATTTGAAAAAACAGAAAACAGAGAAGATGGCAGACTAACGTCTCAAAATAACCTTCTTATCGGGCTCTGGGTGCCAGGTTCTTTTATAGAATAGAGAGGGGGAGGAAGTGAGGAAGTAAAAAGGCCATTAATCTTGCATGTATCTCCTGGAATGGCCAACCTCAGGGGTGGTGGGTGGGGAGTGCTGCAGATGTGTTCATTTCTTCCTTCCTGTAGCGGTTCACAGGTGGACAGGATCTTGAACAATGGCACTTTGGTCTAATAGGGTAAAGGAGAGGGGCAGGGTACCCCCAGGCAGGCCATTACATATAAATAGTATCCTCGTAGTAAACAACAAAATAGTATCCTCGTAGGAAGCAAAGGTTAAAGTAAAAGAAACAGATCCAATATGGAGTCAGATTTTGTTCTTCCCTGCAACACTATTTTGGTTTCTCAAATTCAGAAATATACCATCAATTACGATATCTTATGTTCAAATTAAACTAAGATAAGTCTGGGATGGCCCCACCAGAGGCAGGCTATGGTGTATATCCTTGAGGTGAGATGAGCCGCTCGGGGAGGGCAGCCCAGGTGCATGAACGGAGAAGTGATTCAGAGGAGAACCCCAGGCAGCTAGGGCCAGAAATAACATTGGGTCTTACTGTAGATGACTGGTGTGTTCATTTGCCAGGGCTGCAGTAACAAAGTACCATAAACTGGACAGATGAAACAACAGCAATGTATTGTCTCAAGGTTCTAAAGGCTGGAAGTCCAAGATCAAGGTGTCAGCAGGATTGGTTCCTTCTAAGGACCAAGAGGAAGGATCTGTTCCAGGCCTCCCACCCAGCTTCTGGTGGGAGCTGGCCAATTTTGAATCCTTCAGTATATAGAGGCATCTCCCCAATCCCCGCCTTCATCTCTAAGTGGCATTCTGTGTACCCGTCTGTGTCTAAATGTCCTCTTCTTTTAAGGACACCAGTCATACTGGCCTGGGGCCCACGCTAATAACCTCATTTATGTTGATTACATCTAAAAAAACCTGTCCAACCAGTCACTTCTGAAAGTAGTAGGGTTAGGATTTTGATGTAAGAATTTGGGAGGACAAAATTCAACCCATACAACTGGTTTATCTTTAAAAAAAGAAAAAAAGAAAGTGGGATGGTTTGCATATCATTTAGACTAGGGAATTCAGGGAATAAGGCAGTTTGCCAGGACCATGGTCAATCCTTGCCCTTCCCCCTCCTTCCCACTTAGAATGATCTCAGGGTCACCTGAGATGACCTGGGAGGAGCATCTGCTTCCTTTTTCCTCCTATTTTGAGCCTGAAGTAAAGATTATAACCAGTAAGTGGCAGGTGGCGGGGTGGGTGGGGCGATGGGAAGTGATGTCCCTTCACTGCTGAGGCATGTTCTGATTTTTTTCTCTGTTACTAGTTTTCAATTTCTGGTCAGTATGACTTCGAGTTCCTCCGAAATCTTGAGTCACAGACAACTTACTGTGTCCAAGTTCGAGGGTTTCTTCCTGATCGGAACAAAGCTGGAGAATGGAGTGAGCCTGTCTGTGAGCAAACGGCCGTTGACGGTGAGTCTTGAGATTCACTGTCTGCAGTTCTGTGTCCTCTGAGCACCCTCTTTTTTTTTTTTGGACGTGGGTAGTGGCGGTGGGGGGGGCCATGCTGCAAGGCTTTTGAGATCTGTGTTCCCCAAACAGGGACTGAACCCGTGTCTCTTGCAGTGGAAGCACAGAGTCCTAACCCCTGGACCGCCAGGGAATTCCCTCCTCTGAGCATCTTAAGTGGCTTTAGAGACTCCCAGCGAGTGTGCCGGCTGAAAGGCTCCTTAGAGATCATCACCCAGCTCAAACTCCAGTTCATCCCTGACTGACTGAGCCTCTTGCCGGGAAGGAGACCACCACCTTCTGAGGCAGCTTGTTCACTCCTAGACCCAAAGGATTGATGGACAGTCCTTCCGTCCAGGGAACTAAGGTCTCCCCACACACACCCACCTCCAGCATGCTTGTTCTCTCCTCTTGGGCTCCCTGAGGAAGTCTCAGTCCTCCCAAGGCCACGCAGCAAAGGTCGAGCCCAGATGCCCTCTACTAGACGCCTTTCCTTCCCAGGCTGTACACCTCCAGTTCCTTCCCACATCGCAGGAAGAGTTTGGAAACCCCACCACTGTCCTCAGCAAGATAGTCTTAGGGTTCCTCATGAATTATAGCACCAGAACCTCCACACGTGAGGTACATGTACCCCAGTATCTAGCATAGTGCCTCCACACTTGGTGTTTCTTAAAACACAGGGAGGGAGGAAGGGAAGGAGGAAAAGAGGGGAGAGGAGGGTACCAGTTGGCCTAGACACTGAGTAATTATGTAGAGATGTATTATCATTCGAGATGTTAAAATCTTGTAGTCTGCACACACGAGGGGCCTTTTGTTATTTGAAGACGTTGTCCAGAGGATCCACCAGCTCAGATGCACAAAAGCGGGTCTGATCCTGGCTCTTTTCATTTATGGAGTGCCTTTGGAAAGCAAAGCTGTGATCTGGGGATTACAGAAATACAAAGGAGAGCAATGGTAAGAAAAGAATTACCTCTAGAGTTTGAGGGAGACTGGAAGCAGGTATTTGTACACCTGAAACTGTCACAACATTGTTAATTGGCTATACTCCAACATAAAATAAAAGGTCTAAAAACAAAAAACAACAAGAATGATGACCAGCAACCGTGTATCCATATGAAAAAAAGAAAAAATTTCCCCCAGATAGAGGGGAAAACTTTCCATCTTCTGTGTCACTGCAGTCCTGAGGCCACTGTTGCTCCCATCATGGTGCATTGTCATTTCAGCTTATCAAGTTCTTCCTGAATGTTGGTTTTTGTCATTGGATGTATTTCTCACCCAATTTTGTGTTGTCTTTTTTTTTTTTTTAATTTTGTGTTGTCTTATCAAAGAAAAACTGATTTGCTAGAAAGAGCTTCAGGATCTTTAACAGTTTGTTGTTTAAACCGTTGGTGTGTCCAGGATACGCCTTTCTCTAGACCGCTTAACTACCTAATGGTCACCAATCCATATGAACACAGTGGACTATTTTGTAAGCTATTGTGTTTGACCGTCCACAAAGTCACCGTGAAAGACTTTGGTAAATATCAGCTGAAATCAACACCCAGTGCCAAGTGCATTATTGTCCCAACTTTGTTGGGACCCAACACAGTTGGGTGTCCCAATTGTGTTCCCCAAACAGGGGACACACAGTTGTTGTCCCAGTGAGTGTTTATGGGATATTTCTCAAAACAAGAGCCCTGTAGTCAGATGTGCCTGGAAATGAAGGTTCACCACTTCTCCCTCTCAGAAAAAAACACCTTATATATGAGTATTTTCAGCATATTTGATCTTTCAACACCTTTTTTGAGAAGGAACATTTCCAAGAACACAGCTTGAAAAAAAACAGCCCACAATAGAATGGGAAAGACTAGATATATATTTAAGAAAATTGGAGATATCAAGGGACTATTTCATGCAAGGATGGGCACAGTAAAGGACAGAAACAGCAAGGACCACACAGAAGCAGAAGAGATGAAGAAGAGGTGGCAAGAATACACAGAAGAACTATACAAAAAAGGTGTTCATGACTGGGATAACCACGATGGTATGATCGCTCACCTAGAGCCAGACATCCCGGAGTGTGAAGTCAAGTGGGCCTTAGGAAGCATCACTATGAACAAAGCTAGTGGAGGTGATGGAATTCCAGCTCAGCTGTTTCAAATCCTAAAAGATGATGCTGTGAAAGTGCTGCACTCAATATGTCAGCAAATTTGGAAAGTCAGCAGTGGCCACAGGATTGGAAAAGGTGAGTTTTCATTCCAATCCCAAAGAAGGACAGTGCCAAAGAATGCTCCAGCTACTGTGCAGTTGTGTTCATTTCACACCCCAGTAAGGTTATGCTCAAAATCCTTCAAGCTAGACTTCAGCAGTATGTGAACCAAGAATTTCCAGATGTACAAGCTGGGTTTAGATAAAGCAGAGGAACCAGAGATCAAATTGTCAGCATACATTGGATCATAGAGAAAGCAAGGGAATTTCAGAAAAAGTCTCCTTTTGCTTCATTGATGCAAAGCCTTTGACTGTATGGATCACAATAAACTGTGGAAAATTCTTCAAGAAATGGGAATGCCAGACCACCTTACCTGTCTCCTGAGAAACATGTATGCTGATCAAGAAGCACCAGTTTGAACCAGACATGGAACAACTAACTGGTTCAAAATTGGGAAAGAAGTATGTTAAGGCTATATATTGTCACCCTGCTTCTTTAATTTATATGCAGAGTATATCATATGAAATGCTGGGCTGGATGAATCACAAGCAGGAATCAAGATTTCTGGGAGAAATATCAACAACCTCAGATATGCAGATGATATCACTCTAGTAGCAGAAAGTGAAGAGAAACTACAGAGTCTCTTGCTGAGGGTGAAAGAGGAAAATGGGAAAAGCTGGCTTGAAACTCAACCTTCAAAAAACTAAGATCATGGCATCCAGTCCCATCACTTCATGGCAAATGGATGGGGAAAAAGTGGAAACTGTGACAGATTTTATTTTCTTGGGCTCCAAAATCACTGTGGATGTTGACTGCAGCCATGAAATTAAAAGACGTCTCCCTAGTGGCTTAGATGGTAAAGAATCGCCTGCAATGCAAGAGACCTGGGTTGGAAAGATCCCCTGGAGGAGGGCATGGCAACCCACTCCAGTATTTTCGCCTGGAGAATCCCTGTGGACAAAGGAGCCTAGCCAGCTACAGTCCATGGGGTCGCAAAGAGCCAGACACGACTGAGCATCTAAGCACAACTCCTCGGAAGAAAAGCTGTAACCAACCTAGACAGCACATTAAAAAGCAGGAAGGTCAGCTTGCCGACAGAGGTCTGGATAGTCAAAGCTGTGGTTTTTCCAGTGGTCATGTATGGGTATGAGAGTTGGACCGTGAAGAAAGCTGAGCGCCGAAGAATTGATGCTTTTGAACTGTGGTGTTGGAGGAGACTCTTGAGAGTCTCTTGGACTGCAAGGAGATCCAACCAGTCCATCCTAAAGGAAATAGTCCTGAATATTCACTGGAAGGACTGATGTTGAAGCTGAAACTCCAATGCTTTGGCCACCTGATGCCAAGAGCTAACTCATTGGAAAAGACCCTGATGGTGGGAAAGGTTAAGGGCAGGAGGAAAAGGGGCTGCAGAGGACGAGATGATTAGATGGCATCCCCAAGTCGGTGAACATGAATTTGAGCACGTTCTGGGAGACAGTGAAGGACAGGGAAACCTAGCATGCTGCAGTCCATAGTCTCAGAGCAGCTGAGAAAAACGCAGCTTTGCCGTAATCTCAGACTTCCCTAGTGACTCAGTGGTAAAGAATCAGCCTGCCAGTGCAAGAGACACATGTTCGATCCCTGGGCTGGGAGGATCCTGGGAGAAGGAAATGGCAATCTGGTACAGTTATTCTTGCCTGGGACATCCCATGAACAGAGGAGTCTGGTGGGCCACAGTCCAGAGGGTCACAAAAGAGTCGGACATGACTTAGTAACTAAACAACAAGTAGCCACTTAACGATCCATTTTAGAATTTTTGTATTGTTTTCTGGATATAGAATCAGGCTTACCAGCCTGGAGTTTCCTGAACCTTGTTGAGGTTTCTTTTGCTTTTTGTTATTGCACAAGTTACTTGCCCAAATCCAGGAATCTCTCATCTCACCCGGTCATGTGATCTTTCCAGTGTCATCCAAAAGTATTCTGCAATAATATTAAGCACGGTTTCTCAGGAATCAGAGCCACGTGGAAGATGGAGTCTTGCTGTCTGTCTGGAGGGAATTCTCTGCCTCTCTCTCTTTTCTGTAGCCCCCGGCTAGCGCCGAGCCATGGCTGTCCAAGGCTCAGTCTGCCTGCCTGTGTTCCATCTTGTGGCTGAGCCTCCCGACAAGTGCCTCTAAATAACAAAAGCCTGCCTTAATAAAAAGCCAAAAACCTTTTTTTTTTTTGGCTGCCCAGCAAGGCTTGTGGGATCTTCGTTCCCCAACCAGGGATTGAACCCAGGCCCTTGGCAGTGAAAGCGCAGAGTCCTGCCTACTGGACCGCCAGGGAACTTCCAAAAGCCTGCCTTTTTATTCTGCTCGTGAATCATCTGTAGTTGAATGAGAATTCTGTGCCCTGCAAGCACCCATCCTGTTGAAATCACTAGAATCCTGACTTTGGGGTCTTCACTCTTTCCTCTGAACACCTGCCGACTGCTTTCTCCAGGCCTGAGTATGCCTGGTTGTCCCGTGTCCCACCCTTCCCTGCTGTGAGTCCAGCACAATGAGTGATGTGGGGCAGGTCCTGAATGCCCCGTGCCTCAGTCGCCTCACCTGCAAGAGGAGAGTAATCAAAGGTGTCAGCCTGCAGTATGAGTTAGGTGGCATTACTGTTATTATTCAAATCATACTTTTAGGGGCTTCCCTGATGCTCCAGTGGTTAGAAATCCACCTTCCATTTCAGGCAATGCAGGTTTGGTCCTTGGGCGGGGATCTAGGATCCCACATGCTGCAGGGCAGCTTCGCCCTACAGCTACTGAGCTGATGTGCTCCAGAGCCCTGCAGCTAAGACCTGACAGCCAAATAAATACGTGTTTTTTAAAAAATAAGATCACGCCTTTAAATATTACTTAGGGCTTATGTCGCGAAACATGGCATGAGGCACACACTTGGACCAAAAAGAAAAGTATTTCAAATATCTTGTGACTCTAAATGATCACTTGTTACTAACAAAATCCAGACATTTCATAAAAGAAGAGAACAGCCCACTGAAAACCTGCTTTTGTCAAACATCAGTTTAGAGTTTGTTTGTTTGTTTAAATGTAGTTCTCCTGTTTAAACCTCACAGGTTTTCAGTGAAAGTGTGGAAAGGTTCCTCTCCCCTTTCCCAGAAGGGAGGTGAAGGTTCAGAAAGACAAAGTAATTCGCCTGAAGTCAGCTCAACCAGTAAATAACAGGAAGTAACATCTCCGCCCATACCTACAGACTGATCCCATACATAAGCAAAGGCATGACTTGCTGCGGGTAAAACAGGAAAAGGGAGTTGACCTGATGGCATGGTCAGATAGACTGAAGCAAGTTAGGGAGCTTTACACAGAGAGTGTTGATTACTAGTTCAGTTCAATTCAGTTGATTACTAGGTTCTCCCACAATTCACAGCCTATGTAAAGCAGTATCCCCTCTCCTTCCCCATTTCCCCTTCTTGGTAGGTCACAAAAGCATCTTTTGAATTTTGTCACCATGAACCAGGTGTGCCCATGGGATAATGCCCTTGTGTAAGATGCTGACACGTCTGGGTTGGAGGCCCAAGGAGACCCAGGAGCTGCCCCAGGGGAGTCATCACAGTGCCACCAACTGTGCAGGCTCGGGCCCAAAAGTCAATGTTTAATGCATATTTAATGAGTGATTCCGATGCATGGCAAATTAGAGAGCTACAGAAATATTAAGATAGAGAGATGAGTAGATGGTCCTGGAACTTCCTCCAGAGCTGGGACGTCAGATCCCAAGCTGACCTACCATCATCAGCTCTCGTGAAGCCTGGGGGCCACCCCTACCAGTTCCCTTGCCCGACGACCCTGTATCCACCCAGAAGACCCATCTGAGTTGAACCTGCTAAAGGCACCACTGCTCGATCCTGGTAACTGAAACGATAATTCATGGGGCTCAGGGATAAGGAGTGAGTTCCCTGAACTCGGCCAGGGCATGAGCTAGACAGGCTGCGAGGTCACTGCCAGTGTTAATCACAGTGCAAGAGGGGGCAGCAGGCCCGTCCAGCCTCTTCCCCCTGCTGGGTGCCCTCACCGGTTACTAGATGTGTAAGGAGTGTCTATGGCCACACACTGTGCCAAGTGCTGGGAGAGGCCAGCCGAGGGTGGCCGTCCAGGCGGCTCCAGGACTGTGTGCCGATCAGAGTTCTTTGATCTGCCCTGGGGAAGTAAGAGTTGACACTTTGCCACAATCCCCATGGAGGGACCTGCTCTTCCAGGGCAAGGTTCGTTCTCCTGGCCTCTCCCAGCACCAGAGGCTTTCAGTTTGCATCAGGAGGGCGGTGCTGCTGACAGGGCTGGCCACAGGGAGGCCAGGAGGGCAGCTGGCAGAGGGCCTGGTGCTAGATGAGGGGAGCCGGGCCACCAAGGGTGACCCCTTGGAGACGGTGCAAGATAAAGCTGGACATCAGTTAAGGTGGTAACAACAGATTTGATTCATTCATGATTGGAGAAGGGGAAAGAGCTGATGGGGCATTTTAAAGACAGAATTGGGAATTGGGACAAAAAGAGATCAGGGTCACGGAAGTGACAAATGACCAAAACTGGGTGGGCACATGGGGTGATATTAACGCACTTAGGCTGTTTTCTGCGTCTGCTGCTAACTGGACTTTATCACCTGCGGTATTCATCCCACTGGGACTCTGAGACAGAGACTCTTCCTCTGTCGTGATGCTCCATCCTGATGATGACATGTCAAAGGATTGGCTTCCAGATCCTTGGGAAAGACACTCCTGGATTGTAGGAGTTAATTTAGGTCTCAGAGGGAGAGAGGAAGGATTTACAGTCCTGAGCTGTTTAGGAAGGTGCACTAAGAAAGGAACATCAAGAGTTGGTAGAACAGAGGTGAATTCTTTTGGTAGCCTCGGGTTTTTCCAGACAGGAGCTCACAGAGGTGCTGGGGAAGGGAGGGGGCACCCAGAGATCAGCTTTAGGCTGCTGGGCACTAGCATTTGGGGAGGTCTCTGCACGCAGGGGGTCAGATGGGGTCCCCTGTGCAGTTCTCAGAGCCAAACGCCGTAGCATGTGTGTGTCACTGTGGCTCTGGGGCCCGGGGAGCCCCGCTATCTGCTGATGGAACAGCAGAACAGGGAGCTGGTGGCTCCCCTGTGGTTAGATAACAGGGATCAGAGTTAATGCAGCTGCTGCTTTTGGGGGCGTATCAGCAATCATGCCCCAGAAACCCAACTTGGAAGATGGTAGGAAAGGGTGAGACTTGGAAACCTCCAGATCCTCGAATAGCTGCTGCTGTGTTTCCTTGTGAGACACTTGTGCCCCCTCCTCTGCCCCAGTGGTAAGGAGTCACCATGAGATCATGGTGGTGAAAAGAGCGTTAAGGTCGCCATCCCCAAGCTGGGCATGACGCGAATATGACCCAGCCCTTCACCCCTGCAGAAACCACCACGTCCTGGATCGTGGCCAGCGGCGTCCTCGTGGCCTCTGTGTGCGCCACTGTCCTGCTGCTGCTCGGCTGCTTCTTCCTGCTGCGGTGCGGTTACAGGAAGGCCAGGCACGCCTTCCCCCCGAGGAATTCTCTTCCGCAGCACCTGAAAGAGGTAGGTAGTGGCACGGAGCCAGATGTGGGTAAGAAGACGCTGACCTTCGGAGTCAGAGCCGCCTGAGTCAACCAGGCGTGGTTTCTCGGAGGACGACACACACCTTGCATGCAGGTCCCATTCCTGGTGCCCTTTCCGAGAAGTCTGAGCTCGGGGAACAGCCCTATGGGAAGGGGGCAGAGGTTTTGTTCCTAAAAGCCCCCCCTCCAACCTGGATGTTTGTTCCTTCTCTGACCTTCCCTGCCCGGAGGCCCAAGTCGTCTGAGAGCCAAGCTGATGGTCCCGGAGCAGGAAGGGACCAAGCCGAGCTCAGAGCAGAGAAGACAGGAAAGAGAGCACTCTGGGCTGAGTGCCCCGAACAGCCAGGGACAGAGGAGGGGCAGGAGCAGTGTCAGAGCGGGAAACATCTGAGAGCGCCTGAAATTATGGGACGTGTGTCCCAGGCTTTAGGAAAGCAGTTCTTTTTTTTTTTTCCTTCAGGAAATTTAAAAAAAACGTGAAAGTCACTCAGACGTGTCCAACTCTGCGACCCCATGGACTATACGGTCCGTGGAATTCTCCAGGCCAGAATACTGGAGTGGGTGGCCTTTCCCTTCTCCAAGGGATCTTCCCAACCCAGGGATAGAACCCAGGTCTTCCACATTGCAGGCGGATTCTTTACCAGCTGAGGCACCAGGGAAGTCCAAGAGTACTGGAGTAGGTAACCTTATCCCTTCTCCAGAGGATCTTGCTGACCCAGGAATTGAACTAGGGTCTCCTGCATTGCAGGCGGATTCTTTACTGACTGAGTTACAGGAAAGCTACTTTCAAAACGTTTGGGTGGAAGAAAGAATGTACCTGGATGGAGCCTGTAGGACAGAAGTGGCTTTAAGAAATGAAATCTTGGTTATATTTTCACTTTCGTTTCAGTTAGAAATGAAGTGAAAGGAAATGTGAAGTGAAGCCCACGTCTCCCCTGGACTGGGTGTGGGCTCCCCCAGGAAGGAGGCGCAGTTGGGATGGAGAAGTTCCTTCAGCTCAGGGAACCTCCCATGGTGGGGTTGGGGGAGCCCCACTCCCAGCAGCTGAAGGAGCAGGCCCCTGCTTCCTAAAGAAGACTGGGGTGAGGGTGGCGCATCACAGCATCCACTCCAGCCTACGCATAAACCGCTAGGACCCAGGGGTGCAGCTTCTCTTAAGAGCCGAGTCGAGCTGCTCCCCCAGGGAAGGTTACAAGAGGAAGGTTAAGGGAACAAGGGCCAGCCCCGCCCCTGCAGCGGGTCCAAGGGCACAAGTGATGCCCGTGACCTCACCGCTCTGCTGCCTGCTCCCCAGACCAGCCGCTGCTGACCTGGCGGGAGCGACTCAGACCTTCCACTCTGCGAGGCCTGAGCCCCTGATCACAGGACACCAGAGACCCCGTCTCATGTGCTTCTCCACGTGCCATCAGAATTGGGCAGGAGTCCCCCCTCCCCCGGGCCCCATCATGTAGCAGCAGCCTCTTCTCCCCCTGATGATCCAGGTAGTGACTCCTGACTCCTTTCCTGGCCAGCTAGTTTTTTGGCACAAGGATCCTGACGTGAAAAGGTGGCAGCTATAACTTACAGTTTGAGGGAATCCCTCCCGCATCCCCTCGTGGAAACATCCCCCTCTGGGATAATAACTGCTTTAGGCTTTGTAACAAAGATTGAGGTATTACGCGGTTGTTGGTCTTCAGTCACTAAGTCGTGTCCAGCTCTTTTGCAACCCCATGGACTATAGCCTGCCAGCGCCTCTGTCCATGGGATTTTCTAGGCAAGAATACTGGAGGAGGTTGCTATTTCCTTCTCCAGGGGATCTTCCCAACCCAGGGATCAAACCTCTGTCTCCTGTATTGGCAGGCAGATTCTTTACCCCTGAGCCACCAGGGAAGCTGCGAGGTATTACATAGATACTTACGTGACGTTTGCCTTTAGCCACTCTTCTTTTCTCAGCTGTTTGTAAGGCCTCCTCAGACAGCCATTTTGCGTTTTTGCATTTCTTTTTCTTGGGGATGGTCTTGATCACTGCCTCCTGTACAATGTCATGAACCTCCGTCCACAGTTCTTCAGACACTCTTATCAGATCTAATCCCTTGAATCTATTTGTCACTTTCACTATATAATCATAAGGGGTTTGATTTAGGTTATATCTGATGGTCTAGTGGTTTTCCCTACTTTCTTCAATTTAAGTCTGAATTTGGCAATAAGGAGAAAAGAAGAGAAGCTAAAGGCAAAGGTGTAAAGGAAAGATATACCCATTTGAATGCAGAGTTCCAAAGAATAGCAAGGAGAGAGAAGAAAGCCTTCCTCAGCGATCAGTGCAAAGAAATAGAGGAAGACAATAGAATGGGAAAGACTAGAGATCTCTTCAAGAAAATTAGAGATACCAAGGGAACATTTCATGCAAAGATGGGCACAATAAAGGACAGAAATGGTATGGACCTAACAGAAGCAGAAGATATTAAAAACAAGTGACAAGAATACACAGAAGAACTGTACAAAAAAAAAGATCTTCATGACTCAGATAACCACAATGGTGTGATCACTCACCTAGAGCCAGACATGCTGGAATGCAAAGTCAAGTGGGCCTTAAGAAGCATCACTATGAACAAAGCTAGTGGAGGTGATGGAATTCCAGCTGAACTGTTTCAAATTCTAAAAGGTGATGCTGTGAAAGTGCTGCATTCAATATGCCAGCAAATTTGGAAAAGTCAGCAGTGGCCACAGGACTGGAAAAGGTAAGTTTTCATTCCAATCTCAAAGAAGGGTAATGCCAAAGAATGTTCAAACTACTGCACAATTGCACTCATCTCACACACTAGCAAAGTAATGCTCAAAATTCTCCAAGCCAGGCTTCAACAGTACGTGAACCGTGAACTTCCAGATGTTCAAGCTGGATTTAGAAAAGGCAGAGGAGACAGAGATCAAATTGCCAACATCTGTTGTATCATCGAAAAACCAAGAGAGTTCCAGAAAAATATCTACTTTATTGACTATGCCAAAGCCTTTGACTGTGGATCACAACAAACTGTGGAAAACTCTTCAAGAGATGGGAATACCAGACCACCTGACCTGCCTCTTGAGAAATCTGTATGTGGGTCAGGAAGCAACAGTTAGAACTGGACATGGAACAACAGACTGGTTCCAAATTGGGAAAGGAGTACATCAAGGCTGTATATTGTCACCCTGCTTATTTAACTTATATGCAGAGTACATTATGAGAAATGCTGGGCTGGCTGAAGCACAAGCTGGAATCAAGATTGCTGGGAGAAATATCAATAACCTCAGATATGCAAATGACACCACCCTCATGGCAGAAAGTGAAGAACTAAAGAGCCTCTTGATGAAAGTGAAAGAGAAGAGTGGAAAAAGTAAAACTCAACATTCAGAAAACTAAGATCGTGGCATCTGGTCCCATCACTTCATGGCAAATAGATGGGGAAACAGTGGAAACAGTGACAGAGTTTATTTTGGGGGGCTCCAAAATCACTGCAGATGGTTACTGCAGCCAAAAAATTAAAAGACACTTGCTCCTTGGAAGAAAAGTTTTGACCAACCTAGACAGCATATTAAAAAGCAGAGACATTACTTTGCTGACAAAGGTTCATGTAATCAAAGCTATGGCTTTTCCAGTAGTTATGTATGGATGTGAGAGTTGGACTATAAAGAAAGCTGAGCACCAAAGAATTGATGCTTTTGAACTGTGGTGTTGGAGAAGACTCTTGAGAGGCCCTTGGACTGCAAGGAGATCCAACCAGTCCATCCTAAAGGAAATCAGTCCTGAATATTCATTGGAATGACTGATGCTGAAGCTGAAAGCCCAATACTTTGGCCACCTGATTTGAAGAACTGACTCATTGGAAAAGACCCTGATGCTGGGAAAGATTGAAGGTGGGAGGAGAAGGGGATGACAGAGGATGAGATGGTTGGATGGCCTCACTGTCTCAATGGACATGAGTTTGAGTAAACTCCAGAGGTTGGTGATGGACAGGAAGGCCATGCTGCAGTCCACGGGTTCGCAAAGAGTCGAAAAGACACGACTGAGCGACTGAGCTGAACTGAGCGACTAAGATGCATGCACAGTTTTTTCAAAAGTGAAAAGGAACAGGGCACTTCCTTGATAGTCCAGTGATTAGGACTCTATACTTCTCCTGCAGGGGGACAGATTCCATCCTTGATCGGGGAACTAAGACCCTGTGTCCCATGAGGCATGGCCAAGAAAAACAGAACAAAGCACAGAGCAACAACAGATAGCTCGTAGGAACCAGCCGTGCAGCGCAGGGAGCGCAACTCAGGCTCTGTGATGACGTTGGTGGGGAGGATGGGGAGGGGAGGGAGGCCCAAGAGGGAGCATAGGTATATGTATGTATGTGTACGCATATGTATGCATGTGCACGTATATGTATGTATGTGTGCTTGTATGTATGAATGTGCACACGTGTGTATGCATGCGCACGCGTGTGTGCATATGTGTATGCGTATGTATGCATGTGTACGTATATGTGTGTATGTGTGCACATATGTGTGCATATAGCTGACTCGCTTCACGGTACAGCAGAAACTAACAGCACATTGTAAAGCAACTAGACTCCAATTAGTAAATAACAAGCAGAAAGGAACAGATGAAATTAATATTAGTAATACATTTTATGCAACCCAATATATCCAAAATATGATTTTGACATGGAACCAATAATTTTTTTCATTTTTCAAAACATTTATATTCTTTTTTTCATACAAAGTCTTCAAAATCTGGTGTGTGTTTTACCTCTCAACACACGTAGAGTCAGACAGGCCACATTCCATGTGGCTGGTGGCTGCCGTACAGGATGGCACAGGGCTGAAGGCTGGACAAAGGGACACTCGGGGTGCTGGGAGCACCCGAGAGGGCCTCCAACTCAGCCTGAGGATGCACAGGAGAGGGACTTATTCCAAGACACATGTATCCCATGCCGGCTTCTTCGAGGTAAGGATGCCCTGGGCAGCATTGGGACCGTCCCTGAGTCTCCCTCCAGGTTTACAAGAGGAACTGTCAGAGGAGGACCTGTGATCGCTAAGCAAAGGAGGTGAAGATTTATTGTTGAATTTGTTAAATTGTGGTAAGACACGCATAATGTAAAATTTGCCACCATATCCAGTTTTCAGCGTACAGTTCAGTGGTATTGAGTGCATGGACATTGTTGTGCAACCCTCCTCACCCTCCATCCTCAGAACCTCTTTCATCTCGCAAAACAAACCAGATCCATTAAATAAATTAATAGATCCATTAAATAGAACTCCCCACCTCCCTTGTCCCCCAGCCGCTGGCCACCACCGTTACTTTCTGTCTGTGAATTTGCCTAGTCTAAGTACCTCATGTAAGTGGAATCATGCCCAATTTGTCCTCTTGTCTCTGGCATAGTTCACCTAGCATAAGGTTCCTCAACATTGTGGTATGTATCAGAACATCATTACATTTTGAGATTGAAAAAAAAATTGAATTATATGGATAGACCACATTCTATTGGGTTGGCCAAAAGTTTGTTTGGATTTTTCTGAACGCTATAACAAAAACCCAAACAAATGTTTGGCCAACACAGTATCTGTCCAGTCATGCGTGAACGGGGTTTCCCAAGTGGCGCTAGTGGTAAAGAATCTGCCTGCCAATTCGGGAGACCCAGGAGACAGGAGTGTGATCCCTGGGAAGAATCTGACCCATGTGAAGCTCCCCTGGAGGGCAGACATCCCCTCCAGTGTTCCTACCTGGAGAACCCCAAGGACAGAGGAGCCTGGCGGGCCACAGTCCACGGGGTCACACAGAGCCGGGCATGGCTGGAGGGACCGAGCACGCACGCACACATGTGTGGATGGGCATGCGGTCTGCTCCCACCTTTGGCTCTCAGGAATTATGACGCTCTGAAGACAGGGGTACGTATTAATGTATGTCTCTGAGACACCGCTTTCAGTTCTTTTTGGGTGTATAACCAGAAGTGGACTTGATGGCCCATACGGTAATTCTATTTTTAATTTTGTGAGGAACTGTCATACTCTTGTTGTTACATTTTTTTTTTAAACAGCACTTTTCAGCCAGGAGTTCTGTAGAAAATTGTGAGCCCGGAAAAAGAAATGGGAAAATTTGTTAATTAACTTTTTTTTTTTCTCCCTGCAGTTCATGAGCCACCCTCATCACAGCACTCTTCTCTTATTCTCCTTCCCACTGTCTGATGAGAATGAAGTCTTTGACAAGCTGAGCGCCATCACAGAAGTGTCTGAAAGCTGCAAGCCGAACCCTGGGGCCAGCTGCGGTCTCAGGACCTGACGTGGGCAGGGGTCCTTCCAGTGGTGTCCGAGGAGGGAGCACACTCAGCCGGGCGCAGTGACCCCCTCCTTGTCCTGGCTGCCCCCGAGGGCAGTCAGAGCAGCCAGCCAGCGCAGGCCGAGACCACCTGAGTAAACCCAGATGGAGAAACACAGACGCCGGGACAGCGTCCACACCACCAAGGAGCTGGGCTCTAAATGCTCATGTGGCAAAACCTTGGGAACTTGCCACTTTTTAAAGGCCTTAATGATTAAAAAAAAAAAAGTTGGCCACTGTGATTTCCCTGATAGTCCATCCCAGTGGTTAAAAGACTTCACGCTTCCAATGCAGGGGACACAGTTTCCATCCTCAGTTGAAGAACTAAGATCCCACATATCACATAATGTGGCCAGAAAAGAAAGTTGAGGTTGGCCACTGGAGGTATGATTCTCAGTCTTGTGTATTCACTAATATGAAAAGGTTTTAGGGAATTCCCCAGCAGGTCCAGTGGTTAGGACTCCACGCTTTCACAGCCGAGGGCCGAGGTTCAGTACCTGGTCAGGGAACTCAGGCCTCACAAGCCATGTGACAAAAAAAAAAAACCACCCCAAAAAAAAAGTTTTAAATGGTTAGAAACAAAAATGTATAAAATGAGGAAGAAAGACCAAGACACTGTGGAATCTGACGGGAGAAATGGCGTCGACTCGGAAGTCGGTGCCACCAAGCTCTGTACAGAGTACAGACACTGGATTCTCAGGGACACCTGGACTGGGTTTATTCTTCTATGCGGACACGTTTCGTATAACGCTGGTGCTTAGTTAAAGCGTCACTCTGTTTAGTCCATGCGCGTTAAATGACACTCCCGTCCGTGTGACTGTTGGAGTGAGCCAGGTTCTCGTGTGCTGTCTTTGCTGTTCACTCAGTCAGTGGCTATTCCTCAGTCCCTGCTTGGCGGTCAGCCAGGGACTGTGCCAGGCCCAGGGGCCAAACAGCAGCTGGGAAGCTTCAGAAAAGAGAAGGCCCTCAAGCTTTGAATTCCAGGCTTCCCAGGTGGCTCAGTGGTAAAGAACCCGCCCGCCAATGCCTGAGACACATGTTCGATCCCTGGGTCAGGAAGGTGACTTGGAGGAGAAAATGGCAACCCACTCCAGTATTCTTGCCTGGAGAATCCCATGGAGAGGGGAGCCTGGCAGGCTATAGTCCATGGGATCACAAAGAGTCAGACAAAATTGAACAGCTGAGCACGCACGCATGGGCTTTGAATTCCACCTCGGACGCTTAACAGTTCATCTGTACATGAGGATGAAAAAACCTAAGGGTTAGTGACACTCGGTGAAAAATGCCCACCCCAGTGCCAGCACATAGCAGTCACTCAATAAATGGTAGCTCATCTTACCAACTGCATCATCTCATGGGTGATAGACTTCACAAACCTAGGTCTGCAACAAATAGCCCTTCCTCTGGGTCAGGTTGCTCAATAAAGTAGATTCATTGAAGTTCCCCAAAATAGCAAAAATTTTTTAAAACCCACTTTTAAAAATAATTTGACACTGTTTTTAATGGAAACAACATGGGGGGACAAGATCAAAAGTTTGTTGACCTGTTCGGTATTTTTAAATTACGTTCAGTGATGTGAGGGAGAGGTCACCATGTCCTGGGTTCTCAGCCCCTGATTCTGGTTTGGAGGTAGTCTGACAACAGGGAAGAAGTCAGTTCCCTTCCCCAGTTCAGCTTGTCATCGCCGAAGGAGGAGTGACAGGAATGCGTGTACATGAATGCGTCTGACTTGGGAGAGAAGGAAAGGAATATTACTTTATTGCTCATTATTCATCCAATCCTTGCCTAAAGCCCTTCACGTGTCTGAAGAGTCTCCATCTTGGAAAGTGTGAACCCTTCTCCCTTTTTAGGGGTTCAAAATGCCACCTGCTCCTTTGCGCCCCCTTGCTGCCAGGCTTTGAGTTGGGGGACGGGGAGGGGCATGCAGGGCAGCAGTAGAGGCCAGGGTTCCAGTAGAAGCATCCAGTAGCCTGGGAGACTCAGCATTAGCAGTGAGTGTGAAAGGGTTAGTAGATCAGTCGTGTCCAACTCTGTGCGACCCTATGGACTGTGTAGGCCACCAGGCTCCTCTGTCCATGGAATTCTCCAGGCAAGAACACTAGAGTAGGTTGCCATTCCCTTCCCAGGGGGTCTTCCTGACCCAGGGATTGAACCCAGGTCTCTGACACTACAGGCAGATTCTCTTCTAGGTTTGGTTTGGACATTGTTCCTGCCTTCACCTCCCAAGGCTGTTCCTCCAGTCCTTCCTGAGATTCTGTGAGCTCCCCCAAATCAGGCTGAGACATTCGTTTTAGCCGGTCGGTTTCTAATGGTTGCAGCTCAAACCCTGAGCAGGCTTCCCAAAGCAAAGCAGAGTGGATATGGATTCTCCAGTCCTAGAAGCCCACCCAGGCGGGTATAGGGGTACAACAGGAGTGAGCCATCTCTGTGTGGTTTCCCGGCAGAGGGACTGACAGCGGCACTCATCCTCTAGGGCTGGGAGGTCCTGAGCGGCTTCAAGGGGACCAGCTGAAGCCTGAGACTGACTAGCTGCAGACCGCAAGGGTAGCAGCCTCCTACCAAGAATGGGGGGATTCAGAGCGCATGCGTGCGTGCTCAGCTGCTCAGTTCTGTCGACTCTTTGTGCCCCCATGGACTACAGCCTGCCAGGCTTCCCTCTCCATGGGATTCTCCAGGCAAGAACACTGGAGTGGGTTGCTGTTTCCTCCTCCAAGGGATCTTCCAGACCCAGGAATCAAACCTGCGTGTCCCGCGTCTCCTACCACAGTGCGCTAAGATGAGGGCAGAGAAGGGCACAGGCCCTCCCGGGCCAGGAGCTGACCCCTAAGCTACTGTCTGCCCTGCCCCCAGTACAGTGTTGTGGGGGTGGAGTCGGAGACATCTCAGGGACCAGGGTCTCTAGCCACACTGGGGGATGCACTGTTTGCACGCCTCCCCCTACACACACCCCTGTCTCCCACCACTGATGATGGATGTTTGCCCAAGTCCCCCCCGTATTTGCCACCCTCCTCATGACTCCGAGTGGCTCTCGGCCGCCACTTTCATGAGAAAATACCGCTCGTGTCTCTGCACGATGAATAGGAGGGGGACGCGTCTATCATTTGGCCCCCAAGATGTCAGCAATCTTAGGGAACCTCATCTAGGCTTCCCTGTCCCATAGTATGGCAACATCCCTGACCCTCAGATGAAGTCAAGTAAAATGCTGGATGTTACGTTTAAAAATCAACGTTTCAAATGATCCCTAGTGAGGAAGGAAAAAAATATGCCACCTTTCACCCTGGAGGGCATTTGACAAATCTTGTAGGATTTCAGCCCCTTCCAAGGACTCAGGGAACAGAAGACAAGACTCGGGGCTCGCCCAAGGTGGCGTGGAAAGGACACCTACCCTTAAGTCTGAAATCCCAAAGAGCATCCCCTCCCCTGTGTAAGGGTGAACTAGGAATAAATGAATCCCACCCCACCCCCATATCAGTGTCCTGCCATAAGAAAGTGTCACAAGTTTGTGACTTAAAGCCACAGAAACTTACTCTCTCACAGCTCTTGACTTCAGAAGTCCAAAATCAGTTAGCACTAGGCTGAATTCAAGGTGCCAGAAGTCTTCAGAGGTTCTAGGGGACAGTCTGCTCCTGCCTTTTCCAAATGCCAGCAGTCTTTGGCTTGCATCAGCATCACTCCTATCTCTGCCTGTATTCAGATCACTTTCTCTTCCTCTGTTTGGTTGTCTCCCTCTGCCTGTCTCTTTATTATAGAGACACCTGTGGTTGCATTTTAAGGCCCACCCAGGCATCACCAACTCGATGGACATGAGTTTGGGTAAACTCCAGGAGTTGGTGATGGACAGGGAGGCCTGGCGTGCTGCAGTCCATGGGTTCGCAGAGAGTCGGACACGACTGAGCGACTGAACTGAACTGAAAAGGTAATAATCCAGGATAACTTACCCAACTCAAGATCCTTAATTTAATCAAATCTGAAAAGACTCTTTTTCCAAATAGGTCCCATTCACAGATGCCAGAGACTAGGACTTTTGAGTGCCATTATTCAGCCTACTACACTCCCGCCCCAGGGACTGCAAGTGAACCTTTTTGCTTTCAGTTTTGTTTCTGATTGGAGAGGCAAAGTAGTAGTTTTCCTGAGAAGTTATAATATCAAAACTGTAGATTTGCAGCTCCTGATCCCTCTTCCTGGGTGGTCAAAATAAAACTTGAGGTTAACTGTTAGAAATCACAAAACCCCAAAGGAAAACGTTGCAAGGAAAAGCCAGCAGAAACAGCAGGCAGCTGGGCCTGACCCACCAAGACCTCAGATGCCGACATAAATGATCCAAGGAAAGAGAGCATGCAGAGCGCAGTCAAGTAAATCTAAGAAACCATTGATTGCATCAGGATGGCACAAGAGGCTGAGTGAGTCACAGGAACCCAAATCTCAGTGGCTTGGAGAACAAAGACTTATGTTTTTGCTCATTCTGTGTGTGGCTGGCAATCAACCGAGGGTCTGTTCTTTTCTCAGTGATGTCTTTATTCTAGAATCTCGGCTGAAGGACCTGCCAAATGGGGAAAGAACTACCAGACCACAATTGTCCTCAGAGCTTCTGCTGAACATGGAGCATGTCACTGCTCTCCACTTCCTATGGCCAAAAGCTTGGCCAAGTCCAATGTTAGTGGAATGGGCACGTGTGCTCCTTCACTGGGAAGAGCTGCAAGTCAGGTAGGAACAGTCGGGACTGTGTGATTCCCTCACAAGGAAGAGACAGAATACTTGGGAGCAATAAATGAAATCTGCTGTAGACTAAGTTTCAAATGGATTTGGTGACGGGATGGGGACATGGTAGAGGAGGTATTAAATAGACCTCTGAAAATGAAAATTATGATACAGTTGCTTGAACAATGCAGATTTGAATTATGCAGTTCCACTTATACACAGATTTTTCTTTCATTAAATACATACCATAATGTTACATAATTGGTGGTTGTGGAACCACAGCTTTGATAGCAAACTGTAAAGTTGTATGCGAATTTTTGACAGTGCAGGAGGTCAGTGCCCCTAATCGCCACATTGTTCAAGGGTCAGCTGCAACTGACATTTAAAAGTCAGAGAATGGGCTTAACAGCAAATTAGGAAAATTGAAATGAAAGGAAGTAAATTGGGCAGAAAGGGGAGCATGTGAGTCAGGATTCAGACAGAGCCAATGAGAAGCGAGATATTTCTGTTAGGGAATTGACTCATGGAATTGCGGAGGCTGGCAAGTCTAAAATATGTCGAGCAGATTGACAGCCAGAGACGCAGGGAAGGGTTGATATTTCAGTTGGGTCCAAAGGCAATATGGAGGCATAATTACTCCTTCCTCTGGGGACCTCAGCCTTTTTTTCTCTCAAGGCCTTCAACTGATTGGAAGAGAACCACTCACATGATAAAGGGGTAACCTGCTTTACTCAAAGCCTTCTAATTTAAATGCCAATCTCATGTTAAAAATAACATCTTCACAGCAACATTCAGACTGGTATTTGATCAGATATTTGAGTACTATGGTCTTGTCAAGTTGACAAATATTAACCACCACCAGGAGCGTAGATCTGAAGTGATTATCAAGAATGCATTAACATAAGAATGAGAAATATGAGAGGGGCTTCCCAGGTGGCGCTAGTGGTAAAGAACCTGCCTGCCAATGCAGGAGGCATAGGAGACACAGGTTCAATCCCTGTGTGGGAAGATCCCCTGGAGGAGGGCATGGCAACCCACGCCAGTACTCTTGCCTGGAGAACCCCATGGACAGAGGAGCCTGATAGGCTACCGTCCATAAGGTTGCAAAGAGTCGGACACAACTGAAGCAACTTAGCACGCATGCACAGAATAGAGTGAGATGATCTATTACATGTCTAATCACAGTCTCTATTTTTTTGGACTCCAAAATCACTGCAGATGGTGACTGCAGCCATGAAATAAAAACACACTCCTTGGAAGAAAAGTTATGACTAACCTAGACAGCATATTAAAAAACAGAGACATTACTTTGCCAACAAAGGTCCATCTAGTCAAGGCTACAGTTTTTCCAGTAGTCATGGATGGATGTGAGAGTTGGACTATAAAGAAAGCTGAGCGCCGAAGAATTGATGCTTTTGAACTGTAGTGTTGGAGAAGACTCTTGAGAGTCCCTTGGACTGCAAGGAGATCCAACCAGTCCATCCTAAAGGAAATCAGTCCTGAATATTCATTGGAAGGACTGATGTTGAAGCTGAAACTCCAACACTTTGGCCACCTGATATGAAGAGCTGACTGATTTGAAAAGACCCTGATGCTGGGAAAGATTGAAGGTGGGAGGAGAAGGGGACCTCAGAGGATGAGATGGTTGGATGGCATCACTGACTCAATGGACATGAGTTTGGGTGGAATCCAGGAGTTGGTGATGGACAGGGAAGCCTGGCATGCTGCAGTCCATGGTCACAAAGAGTCGGACACAACTGAGTGACTGAACTGACTGAACTGAATCATAGTCTCAGGAGGAGAGGTGAGAAAGGATGAGGCAAAAGCAGTATTTGAATATTTGAAAAGATAATGATTGATGAAAGACACCAGTCTACAAGCTCAGGACAACAAATCCCTAGCTGGACAAAGAAGAAATCACATCAGGACAAATCTTGCTGTTGTTCAGTTACTAAGTCATGTCTGACTCTTTGCAACCCATGGACTGCAGCATGCCAGGCTCCTCTGTCCTCTACTATCTCCCAGAGTTTGCTCAAATTCATGTTCATTGAGCTGTTAATGCTATCTAACCATCTCATCCTCTGCCGCCTGCACACGAGAGCCGGCACACGAGATCCCACCCATGACAAGGTCATGAGGAAAAGACCTGACGGGCAAGGCGGATCAGGTTTTCAGGGATTCCGAAAAGTTGCCCCAGCGCTCACCTTAAAGATGATATCTGTCTTTCTGATGCTTGCTTCGATAGACTACTCCCTAATTTCTGTGACACAGGCAGAAGGCCTTCCCCATCTCTTTCCAAATAAGAATCAATTTAGAACTTTAATCAAAGTTCTAAATTGAACCACTAATTAGAACCACTTTCCTGGGTGGTGGTATTTTACGAGATTATCCAGGATGAAAGGAGTGTTTTAATTTAAACTCCTTTGCTGGTATTTTAGTTTGTTTGGCAAATGCGTTTATGCCCTTGGTACTAATATGCATGATTGCTTATAATACCCTAATCATAAAACATAAAAACAGCACAAAGAACCTGATCATATAAAGGCCCTAATAGGCACAGAGCCCTTCGGGGGTGAGGAAGCCCTATTAGAGAACATAAAAATATTATTCTAAAAGTGGTTATAGTTAAAGATTTAGAAAAATAAGAGTTTTAAATTGTTAATTTTAAACAGGAATGCTAAACAGGGGCTGCCTCACTGGAGCTGCAGAGTCTTTGTGTGGTAAACCTTTTAGATAAATTTAACTGATAACTTCTGCAAAAGGACTGACCTTTGTGTTCATTAAAGAATAGATTACGGAAAACAGCTTTGCATGCACCTAGGTCATAAAATGTCAATAGGCCCCAAGGCCAGAAGATAATATACAAGACCCTCATAAACAAAGAAGTATGCAGAAAACACCCTGGTTTCGTGAAGAACAAGATGATGTAATGTTAAACTATCTTCCCTTTAGAAATGTACTAATTTAGGGTGTAAAAGCCACGGTAAAAAAATAAAGCACTGCCAGACTCTGCCAGACCCTGCAAACACCCCCGTCTGGTCATTCTCTCTCTCTCCCTCGCAGACTTGGCCCTATCAAGGCTGTTCTCACGTGTCTTCTCTCTCTCTCTCTCTCTCTCTCTCTCTCTCTCTCTCTCTCTCTCTCTCTCGCCAACACCGTTCATCCTGAGGCTGTCCCCTGGATCCTGCCGAGGCTGGACCCCGGCAGCTGCCTTCTTCTCCTTTTGCCATCAGTCTTTCCCTGCATCAAGGTCTTTTCCAACGATTGACTCTTTGCATCACATGATCAAAGTATTGGAGCTTCACCTTCAGTATCATTCCTTCCAATGAATATTCAGGATTGATTTTCTTGAGGATTGACTGGTTTGATCTCCTTGCAGCCCAAGGAACTCTCAAAAAATCTTCTCCAGTACTACAATTCAAAACATCAGTTCTTTAGCACTCAGCTTTCTTTATGGTCCAACTCTCATATCCGAACATGACTACTGGAAAAACCATAGCTTTCACTATCCGGACCTTTGTCAGCAAAGTGATGCTTTTTAACATGCTGCCTCAGTGGCTCAGGTGGTAAAGAATCTGCCTGCAATGCTGAAGACCCAGGTTAGATCCCTGGGTCAGGAAGATCCCCTGGAGAAGGGAACAGCAACCCATGCTAGTATTCTTGCCTGGAGAATCCCATGGACAGAGGAACCTGGTGGGCTACAGTCCAGGGGGTCCCAAAGAGTCAGACACGACTGAGCGACTAACACACACACTTTGGCTTCCCTGGTGGCTCAGCTGGTAGAGAATTCACCTGCGATGCAGGAAACTGGGTTCGATCCCTGGGTTGGGAAGATCCCCTGAAGAAAGGAACAGCTACCCATTCCATTATTCTGGCCTGGAGGATTCCATGGACTATATAGTCCATGGAGTCGCAAAGAGTCAGACATGACTGAGAGACTTTCACAGACTTGTCATGGCTTTCCTTCCGAGGAGCAAGTGTCTCTTAATTTCGTGGCTGCAGTCATCATCTTGTCATGGCAAAGGGGCTTGCATAACTCAGTGAAGCTATGAGCTACGCAGTGCAGGGCCACTGAAGATGGATGGGTCCCAGTGAAGAGTTCTGACAAGACGTGGTCCACTGGAGGAGGAAATGGCAGCCCACTCCAGTATTCCTGCCACAAGAACACCGTGAACAGTATGAAAAGGTAAAAAGATATGACACCGGAAGATAAGTCCCTTATGTTGGAAGGTTTCCAACATGATACTAGGGAAGAGCAAAGGGCAATTACTAATAGTTCCAGAAAGAATGAAGCAACTGGACCAAAACGGAAGCGAAATCCACTCAGTCATGGATGTGTTTGGTGGTGAAAGTAAAGTCCGATGCTATGAAGAACAATATGGCATAGGAACCTGGAATGCTAGGTCCATGAATCAAAGTAAATTGGAGACTGTCAAGCAGGAGATGGCAAGATTGAGCATCGACATCGTAGGAATCAGTGAACTAAAATGAATGAGAATGGGCAAATTTCATTCAAGGTGAAACTGCAGGGCCTCAAAAACAGAGACGGCATAGTATCTTCAAAGAAAAGCTAATTAAATTATGGATGATGATCTCAGCAGTAAAGAAGCCAAAAAGTGATAGTATACCTTTCAAGTGCACTAACATTTTTGTCAACTTTGAATTATAAGACTGCAAAAATATCTTTCAGGAAAAGGGATAAAATAAAGACTCAGACAAACAAAAGTCAATGATATTTGACATTAAAAGATCAAATAAAGATCTAAGGGATATATTTCAGACAGAAGGAAAACATTCCCAGATGGAAATTATGATACATAAGAAGAAATACAGGAAAGAAACTGGTAAATACATGAACAAATCTAAACAACTATTTTCTGTATAAAACAATAGCAATATATCCTGGGTTTAAAATAAAATACAGGGAGGAAGACAGCTGAAGATGAAATGTTTTAAGATCCTGGTTTTTTTCAGAGGAGAATAAGATGAATCTGAGATATGGGTAAGTTGAAGATCATAAAATTTCTAGAATCACCTCAATTCTGGAGAAGTGGTTCTTAATTGGGGAGGTGTTTTACCGAAAGGTTTACTTTTGTTTTAGGTTCAAAGGATTTGTTAACAAAAGAAACCACTTGTAACACACAAACAATTTCAATTTTCTATAGAAGACTATTTGACTTGACTTCAACATACAGTCATTAAAAGAAGAGAAATGGAAGCAATAGGAGAGAGTCATAGCATACACATCACCAAATTGGGCTGACCTACATCCAGACTTGCCCACTCCAGTGTTCTTCCCTGGAGAATCCCAGGGACAGGGGAGCCTGGTGGGTTGCCGTCTTTGGGATCACACGGAGTCAGACACGACTGAAGTGACTTAGCAGCAGCAGCAGCACATCCAGACTTGAAAACAGTACTGGGCAGTCCCTGGTCAACAGCAGTTTAGAATCCCAACCGAGAAAAGGTCCCAGGCAGTGCATCCACTCTGTGGATGAGACAGCAAATTGCAGTTTCAGGGGTTCCCACTCATAATCCCAGGTCACAAACTGATATCAACTTCAATCTTTCAGTAAAAGAGATAGAATCAGACAAACAAAAACATTTGACATCAAAAGACCTTTTTAGAGAAAGATCTCTGGGATATATTTTAGGCAGAAAGAAACCATTCCCAGATGGAAGTTATGATATGTAAGAAGAAATATAGGAAAGGAAAAAAAGAAAGAAAGAAATACAGGAAAGAAACTGCTAGATATATGAGTAAATTTAAACAGCTATTTTCCGTATAATATATCTTGGGTTTAAACTAAAACACAGGGAGGAGAACAACTGAAGATGAAACATTTCAAGGTCCAATTAATATAGACTTTAACATTTTTACAATGCTGTTTGTTTTATCTTGTGAGTCATAGGATTTCTTTAAACCCTAGGCATGACTGGCCAAACCTCCATGGGTTCAAGAATTCCAAGTCCTACTTCCTTTCTCATCTAAAGTGCTGCCTGCCTACCTGACTAGCTGTGCTTGCGGACAGGCATGGAATCCGACAGTGTCCAGGAGGGTGAGAAGCAAGGTCAGAGGCCTGCTCTCCTGCTTCTGCTTCTCACTGCACTTCCTTACAGGCACTTCCGGCCCCACCTTGCAAGACTTCCTTTATTTTAATTTCCCTCATAGGAGGGGACAGATTTGTCTCCCACAGGACATTTGACAGTGTCTGGGAACACTTCTGGTTGTCTCTACTGACGTCAAGGGAGTAGCAGCCAGGCTTTGTGATAAATATTTACATTGATTATCTTACTTATTCTTTGAGACTGAACCCTCCACAGGACCCTCTGAAGGAAAGCCCGAGGCAGGCTGCAGGGGCTGCACTGAGAGTTCAATCCACACGTGTAATGAGGGCTGTGGCCCAGGCCCTGCCAGGGCTGAAGGTGGATTCTGTGTCCTTGCCAAGTCTCTGGAGCCCAGTTCTCTTGAGAAGAATGCGGGCAATCTAACTGCTGAGGCTGCAAGCTTTGCAGCTAGGAAGTGAAGAAGAAGGGGAGAACCTCACAAGAGTTCTGAGATCAGAAAGGGATTCAGCAGGTCATCTTGTGGGCCCCCATGAAGACACCATAGCAGAAATATATGTCAGGTTTGTTTGAAAGGCCCCCTGAGGGAAGCCAGCTTGAGCCAACTTCCCATCACCCCCCACCTCAGGCTTCCCCTTGCCAGCTTCTTCTGGAAGAAGAGAAGATCTCACTGTGCTTCCTTACAGGCACTTCCAATCCTGCTCTCCAAGACCAGATCAGCCTCTTGGTCACCCTGTTCCTCCTCTCCATTGTGGTTCTCAGCCATGGCTGCCATAGCAGTCACATGGCAAGCTTTAGAAGTGTCAATGCCAGGCCTTGCTCTGACCACTAAATTAGAACAGTCTAGGGTGGGATTCAGGTGTCCTGGGTTTTAAAGCTTTCCCAGGCTTTTTCCAGGGAGTGTGCAACCAAGGTGCAGATCACTGCTCTACCAGAGAAGGTGCGAGAGCTGGTAAGTAAACGTTACCCTGCACTCCTGTCTGTTTTCCTGTTCTCTCGTCTTTAATACCCAGCTAGAGGGTCCACCAGGGTTTCCCAGGTGACTCACCAGTAAAAATTCTACCTACCAGTGCAAGATATGCGGGTTAGATCCTTGGATCGGAAAGATCCCCTGGAGAAGGAAACAGCAACCCACTCTGGTATTCTTGCCCCAGAAATCCCATGGGCAGAGGAGCCTGGCAAGCTGCAGTTCATGGGGTCACTAAAAAGTCAGACACAACTTAGTGACTAAACAACAACAAAAGGTCCACTCATTACCTTCTGCTTTTACAAGAAGATCAGAAGTTATTTGGAGTTATGAACATCTTGGGGAAATATGTTCATGGCCGAAAATTTTTCCTCCTGGCACTGCTCCAGGTTTCTGAGCTTTTCACCACTGGTCATCTGGGAAGTAATTCTCCCTGCTGCTACCCCTTTCTCTTTGCTGGCGCCTGACACAGACCTAGTACCAAGAAGTGTCTGTTGAAATAATAGATAATAAAAATGTAAACTGAAGACTTCTGGAGCACCTGGCAACTACACTGCAGACCAAATAGAAACTCATTAGCACATGCAGATTAAATAGAGCGAATTCTGTTTAAGTAAGTTAACAAAACACCAAAACATAGGCAAGAGAAAAATAAAATCAGTGAAAATCTCCCAGGTAAAGAAAAAGGTTATATTCTCTTCTGTCTACTTTTAAATTGAGTTGAAGTTATTTTTCACCTTCAACTGCACATCAGAAGTCACAGAATTTTACAGTATCTCAGTTCTATTCCCCATTTTTAATATTTTTACTTCTTGTTGCCAAATCTTCTTGCCAATTTTTGCTTCTTATGCCAAAATAAGATTAGCCCTTATTTTAGTTAGCAGCAGAAGAGTGGGTTAGAAATCAAACCCTCAGTGGCAAGCTTTGTTTTAATGTCAAAGGCCATCTTTGAAGCACAAGGACAAATAATGGAATGTTTTCGCCAAGTGAGCTTGTAAAGTTTAGCTCTTTAGAAGAAAGAAATGGAAAAATGTAATAAGGATGGACGAAGTACCGTGGAAGAAACTTAAGGATTTAAAAAAAAAAAAAGTTTTTTAAAAGTTCTGTTTCAAAGGAGAGAAAAGATAGTAAAGTAAGAAGACCCTGAGCTCACGTCCTCCCATGGACACACCCAAATTACAACTATTTACAGAGCAACTTTCAATGACAACAACCTATGACCCAGAAATCCCACCACTGGGCATATACCCTGAGAAAACCATAATTCAAAAACACACACACACCTCAATGTTCATTGCAGCATTATTTACAATAGCCAGGACACGGAAGCAATAAATGTCCATCAACAGATGAATGGGTAAAGAAGATGCGGTACATACATAGAATGGAAAAAGGAAAGCTGTCAGGTCATTTGTAGAGACATGGATGGATCTAGGGTCCGTCATGCAGAGTGAAGTACATCAGAAAGAGAACAACAAATTTGTGTATTAACATACATATGTAGAATCTAGAAAAATGGTATAGATGAACCTATTTGCAGGGCAGGAATAGAGACTCGGACGCAGAGAATGGATGGGTGGACACGGGGTGGGAGTTGATGAATTGGGAGATTAGGATTGATGTATGTACACTGCCCTGTGCAAGACAGATAGCTAGTGGCCACCTGCTGTGCAGCTCAAGGAACTCAGCTCAGCGCTCTGTGATGACCTAGATGAGTGGGACGGCAGGGAGGTGGGTGGAAGGTCCAAGAGGGAGGGGGTATATATATACATATAGCTGATCCATTTCACAGTCCAGCAGAAACTAACACAATATTGTAAAGCAACTATATCCCAATTTTTAAAAAAGGTACATGGAGACAAATGAAAAGGGAGGCCCAATGACCAAAAATCTATGGGACCCTGCAAAAGCCATTCTAAGAGGGAAGTTTACAGCACTAAATCCTGCCTCAAGAAAGAAGAAAAATCTCAAATAAACAGCTTAAAGTTACACTTAAAGGAACTAGAAAAAGAACAAAGAAACCTTAGTAGGAGGAAAGAAATCAAAAAGATCCTAGCAGATACATTTTAAAAGTTTTTCTTTGAGAAGATAAAATTAATCAACTTTTAGGCAGACTCATCAAGAAAAATAGAGAGGGCAAAAATCAGTAAACCCAGGCATGAAAGAAGAGAAGTTATGACCAACACCACAGAAATACAAGGCATCATAAGAGATTGCTACAGACAATTTTACGCCAGTAAAATGGACAACCTAGAAGGAATACATAAATTCCTATAAATGTACCATGTCCCAAGACTGAATCAGTAAGAAATGGAAAATATGAGCCAACTGGTTACAGTAATGAAACTGAGTCACTAATCAATAAACTTCCAACAAACAACAGTCCAGGACCAGGTGGCTTCACAGGTGAATTCTATCAAACATTTAAAGAAGTGTTAATGCCTAGCCTTCTCAAAATAGTCCATAAAATTGAAGAGGAAGGAACACTTCCAAACTCATTCTCCGAGGCCAGCATCATCTAGATACCAAAACCAGACAAAGACACTACACACAAAAAAATCACAGGTCAATGTCCCTGATGAACATAAATGCAAAAATCCTCAACAAAACATTAGCAAGCTGAATTCAGCAATATATTAAAAAGATTCTACACCAAGACCAAGTGGGATTTATGCCAGGGATGGAGAGATGGTTCAATATCTGCAAATCAATCGATAGGATACACTACATTAGCAAGTTGAAGAGTAATAATCATATCATTTCAATAGATGCAGAAAAAGCTTTTCACAAAATTCAACATCCATTCATGATAAAAAATTGTCAACCGAGTGAGTATAAAAGGAATATTGTTGTTGTGTAGCCACTAATTGCATCTGACTCTTTTGCAAACCTATGGACTGTAGCCCGCCAGGCTCTTCTGTCCATGGGAATTCCCAGGCAAGCGTACTGGAGTGGGTTGCCATCTCCTTCTGCAGGGGATCTTCCTGACCCAGGGATGGAACCTGCATCTCCTGCATGGCGGGCGGATCCTTACTGCTGAGCTACCAGGGTCGCTGCAGAGGGAGTACGCTTCAATGTTATAAAGGTCACAAGTGGTAAACCCATAGCCACGTCATGTTTAATGGTGAAAGCCAATCATTTCCTCTGTGATCAGGAACAAGAAAAGTATGCTGACTCTCACGACTTTCATTCAACGTGAAATTCCTAGCCTCAGCAACCAGATAAGGGAAAAAAATAGAAGGAATCCAGTTGGACAGGAAGGAGTAAAACTGTGGCTGTTTGCGGACGACCTGATATCATACATAAAAAATCCTCAGGCTAGCACCAAAAAAACTATTAGTCCTCATCAGTGAATTCAGTAAAATGATGCAAAATTAATACACAGAAATCTATTGTATTTCTATACACTAACAACAAACTATCAGAAAGAGAAATTCAGAAAACAAACCCAACGTTGTAACAAATTCAATAAAGATTTTACAAACGGTCCACATCAAAAAATAAAAATCTTTAACAAGATAGAAATATTTCTCTATAAAGGTCTTTAGTGGACTGATGGGCCCTGAAGATTAGAGGACTTTAAGTCAGCAGAAGTCTCAGCAAGCATCTAGTAGCCCCTTTCTTATCCTACAGGGAAGACAAGGATCCGGTGCCACCACTCTGATAACCAACACTGTGAAAAACCAATGCTGCGAAAAGTCTGCAGTTCATCAAATACACATAAAATTGTCATATGACCTAACAATCCCAGTCCTGGTTATACTACCAAGGGAACTGAAACTACATATCTACACAAAAACCTGCTCTACACAAATATGCATAGCAGTATTATTCATACTAGTCAAAAAGTGGAAACAGCCCACTTGTCCTTGAGATGCGGAATGGACACACGGTGTGGTAAAGCCACACAGTGGAGCAGCATGCAGCAATGAAATGAAGCATCCCTACATGCCACATAAACCTTGAAAACATGCTAAGTGAAAGAAGCCAGTCATAAAGGGTCACAAAGGTTTGATATCTTTCCACTTCCATGAATTTTCCAGAATAGGCAAATCCATTGACACAGAAAGTGGAAGTTACCTAAAGTGCCGGGGTTGCAGGGAGGAAGAGGAGAAGAATGGGGAGTGGCTACTCAAGGATAGGGGACCTCTTTGGGGGTGATAAAAATGTTCTACAATAAGATAGTGATGATGGCCATCATATATTTGTGAATATACAAAAACTTTTGAATCCTACATTTTAGATGGGTGAATTATGTGGTATCTGAATTGTATCTTGGTAAAACTGTTATTTATTTGTTGTTAAGTGCTGAATGTTCAGTATACACAGGATGCCAGGGCAGCGTCGAGGAGGGCCTCTTACATGACTTAAAGGTTGCCTGAGAGTTTCCTGTGTTCTTTGCACTGATACCACTATCGTCACTTCTTTGTACAGCTTTCTGGAGCCGCCTGGCATTGTGATCAGCCACAAAAGCTTCCACTGGTTACAGAAAATAGAAACCATCTGTGTGTCGTCCACTTGTTTTGTTTGGCAGATGCAGTCTGTTGTCATTCCTTAAGGTTGTATTTCTTAGCCATGAGTTCTACATAGTATTTCTAGAAGGCTAGAACAAGAAGGGGAAAATATTAATTTAAATAACTGAAGTATGCTGCCATGCTATGTTAGCTCCAGGTGTACAACATAGTGATTCAATACTTTGATACATTGCAAAGTGATCACCATGATAGATCTAGTTACCATGACCATGCAAAGTTATTACAATATTATTGACTGTATTTCCCATGCTGTGCATTTCATCCCCAAGACTCATTTATTTTGTAACTGGAAATTTTTATCTCTCAGTTACTCTATGTATTTTATTCATCCCCACAGTCCCTCCCTTCTGCAAACCATCTCTTTGTTCTCTGCATCTGTGAGTGTGTTCCTGTTCCTGTTTTTATTATGTTTGTTCTTTTGTTAAGTTTTTTAGATTCTACATCGTACAATATTTGTCTATCTTTGTGTAACTCATTTCACTTAGCCTTCAGTTCACTTCAGTCGCTCAGTCATGTCCAACTCTGTGACCCCATGAATTGCAGCACGCCAGGCCTCCCTGTCCATCACCAACTCCCAGAGTTTACCCAAACTCATGTCCATAGAGTCAGTGATGCTATCCAGCCATCTCATCCTCTGTCCTCCCCTTCTCCTCTTGCCCCCAATCCCTCCCAGCATCAGGGCCTTTTCCAATGAGTCAACTCTTTGCATGAGGTGGCCAAAGTATTGGAGTTTCAGCTTCAGTATCAGTCCTTCCAATGAACATCCAGGACTGATCTCCTTTAGGATGGACTGGTTGGATCTCCTTGCAGTCCAAGGGACTCTCAAGAGTCTTCTCCAACACCACAGTTCAAAAGCATCAGTTCTTCGGTGCTCAGCTTTCTTCACCGTCCAACTCTCATATCCATACGTGACCACTGGAAAAACCATAATCTTGACTAGACGGACATTTGTTGGCAAAGTAATGTCTCTGTTTTTTAACATGCTACTCAGGTTGGTCATAACTTTCCTTCCAAGAGTAAGTGTCTTTTAATTTCATGACTGCAATCACCATCTGCAATGATTTTGGAGCCCAAAAAAATAAAGTCTGACACTGTTTCCACTGTCTCCCCATCTATTTCCCATAAAGTGATGAGACCAGATGCCATGATCTTAGTTTTCTGAATGTTGAGCTTTAAGCCAACTTTTTCACTCTCCTCTTTCACTTTCATCAAGAGGCTCTTTAGTTCTTCTTCACCTTCTGCCATAAGGGTGGTGTCATCTGCATATCTGAGGTTATTGATGTCTCTCCTGGCAATCTTGATTCCAGCTTGTGCTTCTTCCAGCCCAGCGTTTCTCATGATGTACTCTGCATATGTTAAATAAGCAGAGTGACGATATACAGCCTTTTCCTATACACTCCTTTTCCTATTTGGAACAAGTCTGTTGGCCTACGTCCAGTTATAACTGTTGCTTCCTGACCTGCATATAGGTTTCTCAAGAGGCAAGGCAGGTGGTCTGGTATTCCCATCTCTTGCAGAATTCTCCACAGTTTATTGTGATCCACACAGTCAAAGGCTTTGGAATAGGCAATAAAGCAGAATTAGATGTTTTTCTGGAACTCTTGCTTTTTCGATGATCCAGCAGATGTTGACAATTTGATCTCTGGTTCCTCTGCCTTTTCTAAAACCAGCTTGAACATCTGGAAGTTCATGGTTCACATATTGCTGAAGCCTGGCTTGGAGAATTTTGAGCATTACTTTACTAGCATGTGAGATGAGCGCAATTGTGCGGTAGTTCAAGCATTCTTCGGCATTGCCTTTCTTTGGGATTGGAATGAAAACGGACCTTTTCCAGTCCTGTGGCCACTGCTGACTTTTCCAAATTTGCTGGCATATTGAGTGCAGCACTTTCACGCATCATCTTTCAGGATTTGAAATAGCTCAACTGGAATTCCATCACCTCCACTAGCTTTGTTCGTAATGATGCTTTCTAAGGGTAACTTGACTTCACATTCCAGGATGTCTGGCTCTAGGTGAATGATCACACCATCATGATTATCTGGGTCGTGAAGATCTTTTTTGTACAGTACTTCTGTATATTCTTGCCACCTCTTCTTAATATCTTCTGCTTCTGTTAGGTCCATACCATTTCTGTCCTTTATTGTACCCATCTTTGCATGTAATGTTCCCTTGGTATCTCTGATTTTGTTGAAGAGATCTC